GTAAGAGCATTGGCTGCTCTGGCAGCGAATCTGGGTTCAGTTCCCAGCACCCACATGGTGGGCCACAGCTGTCTGTAACTCCAGTTCCCAAAGATCCAACACCTTCTGGCTTTCCCAGGCACTTGCAGGCAAAATACTCATATACAGAAACACAAATAAAAACCTAAAATAACCACGCTTTCAGGGTCCCTCAGAAGCTCAGCAAGAGTTTTATGTGAGTCCCCTCCCGACCCTTCCTTCCTAGCGTTCATGTCCTGCTGGGCACACTAGCTATTGTCCCCATCCCTGCTCCTTGATAAATAGTCTGGTTTTTCCATGCAGTGTTTGTCTCGTGTTGAGAATGTGCAGGCCTGAACTCTGCCAGGCTTATCTTTACAGTGGATTTCCTGCTGCTGGTGGATCTGCCCGCTCCCCAGTGAGCAATAGTTCACATCACCCAAGTGTAAAGATAATACTGACGTTCATGATGTAGGTGGCCTTGGCAGACCCCCGGCTCCTTCTGTCTGGGTGGGAATCTGCAAGCATTAACCCTGGCTGGCGTGCACCCAACATCCCTCTCATGGTCAGAAAGCCAGGACTGAGTTGGCGGGGAGTGGGTGGGGAGTTCATTCATCCATCAGCTATGTGTTGGACCTCCTGTGTGTACCAGGCAGTGGATGAGCTCCAGGCACACAGATAACACAGAGGATGGGGCAGTTCCTGAGGCCCAGCCAATGATAACATGAGGGTTTGTTCTGGGGCAACAATGAGGACCGAGCCAGCCGGAGCATAGGAGGAGTGTGCAATCTAATCTAGGAACTCGAGGGAAGGCTTTAGGCTGTGTGTGTGTGGGGGGGTGGGCAGAGGACAGCCTTGAGAGTCACTCTTCGGGAGATATTCCCTTGTCTTTTGAGATAGGGTCTCTCGTTGGCCTGTGACTTACCATTTTAACTAGGCTGACTAGTCAGTGAACCCAAGATCTACCTGTCTCTACCTCTGTACCTCCCCACAGCTGTGTGCCACCAAACATAGCGTTTTCTCTCTCTCTCTCTCTCTCTCCCCCACTCTCTCCCTCCCTTATGAAAATAAGTTCTTATGCTTGTGCAGTGAGCAATCACTGACTGAGGCTGAGTTTTAGCCAAAAGCTCTATGTACTGAACATGAGTTTTAAACGGCAGTTGCTGGGTCTGTGGGAAGAGGAGGGTCCTTTGCCGCTGTGTTCAGTCCGTTGGGCTACACCTAACATCTAGAGCATCTCCTGACCATGGGCATCCCAGAAAGCTGGCGCTGCTCCTCTGCCCATACACGTGACTGCATAGCATTTGACCCCTTGCCAGGATACCAAGTCCCCGTTCTGATCATAACTAGCTCATTCCAAGGGAACTGCCCTGTCCCCATCACCCCAGCCAACAGGCCTTTGTGCCAGCAGAGATTTTCTCCCTTGATATAGCTAAGCCCATTGGCATTTGCTTTGATTAAAATTATGGTATGACTGGCATCTCTGAGATTCCAGGCCCAAAATATGTAACGCAGCCTAGAATGATAGGAAAGCCAAGCACTCGCTGACAGTAATCCATGGGGTGCCAAGAAGACTGGACTTGAGTCCCGGCTAATGTTTGCACACTTTAGGTACAACAGTCCCTGGCTGGAGAAGAGGTTTCCTGCCCTGTCTGGGTACCAGAGATGGGTCAGGCATGGAGGCCTCTCTCTTCTGCCCTTCTTCACCTACATCCTCCAGCTGGCCCAGCGCTGGCCATGGAGTGAGAGAGCTCACCAACAGGAAAAAGGCAGTAACTGCAAAGACGTGTGATGGGGCCAGACTTCGCCCAAAGCAAACCTCACAAGCCTGGGGTTTGGAACAGGTTCTGAAATGACCGTCATTGTCTGGCTATGTGGAGCAAGAAGTTGCATGGAGGGTGAGATAAGGTGCAGGATCTGGGCTAAGGAAGCCGGTTTTCTCCAGGCACCTCTGTCCAGAGAGGAAGCCAGGGCCCCACCCCCACGCACCCCCCAAAGTCTCTGGGGGTGAGTCAAATCTCAGCAGTGACTTCATTTCCTCTAATTGGGAGGCTACAGACTCTCTGGAAGCTTCCAGCCAGTAAACTACACTGATTGCAGTGTGGGAGCCTCTGATCTACTTGATCGTACTTTCCCTCGGGGACCCTGGTGGCCTAGGGGAGTGACAGCCAGGGGTTGGAGTATTTGCTCAGGAAGAGGGATGTGTTTTTAAGATAACATTTAATCCCAAGTAGAGGAAAGTTTCCAGATGTCTCTGCAGCGTCCATCAGTGAGTGAGAAATGGGTGAAGGTCCCGCTTGTTGACTTGCTGAACAGCTCCAGCTATTCACATATACCCCACACCCCCATACTCCACCCACCCACCCACCCTGCACACACCCTCACCTGTGACATCCTTCCACTGCTGACGTTCATGATGTAGGTGGCCTTGGCAGACCCCCGGCTCCTTCTGTCTGGGTGGGAATCTGCAAGCATTCCATGCTTTCAGATCTTATGCAGCACTATAGAAACTTAGATGTGACTATCTACATCACCATGTGTCCCCCTCTCCCCTCTTCTGTCCTAAGACTGTGTCCTCTCTGAAGAGGGACTTGGTCTTCTTCAACATGCAATGACTTGGTATACCGACCTTGTACAAAGTCCTGTTTGTCTCTTCTTTACCCCAGCGACCTTCAGCATCCGGGCATAGACCACTCCCTCTGTTCCCCCCTTCCTCCCCTCTTCCTGAGTGGGCTCCATCAGCTGAGATAGTCGGTTTTCTTTTTCTTTCCATCAGCCCAGAAGCAGGACTGTACCGTAGTCTTGGGAGCAAGACCACCTGGCTCCGCGGCTTTCAATCTGACACCATGGACCAGTTGGTTACCTTGCAGCTTTGTGCCCTGTTTTCCCCATGTGGGAAGTGGTCAGAATGAAAGTCTCTTCTATGAGCAGTAACAGTTCCTGAGCTTGAGAAGCCAAGCACACGATTGTGAGTGAGTGCTCCGCAGACGTGAGCTAGAGTGATGCTGATGATAACACGGGAAGCCCCTCCTCTAAAGTCCCCTGCATTCTACCAGGCTTTTCCCTGTCTGAGCATGAAATAGCTTGAACCATACAACATTCTGGCTCCTTATTTCAAAGTCCAAGTTTACGCCATGGCCTGAGTGTCTCTAGAAACAGACACTAGTTTTCAGTAATAAGACCCCAACTTCAGGGCTGGAGAGATGGTTCAGTGATGAGGCGTACTGGCTGGTCTTTTAGAGGATCCAGGTTCAATTCCCAGCGTCCACATGGTGCCTTGCAAACTGCCTGTAACTCCAGTTACAAGCTCTTGGTCCCCTCAGTACTATAGCAAGCTCTTAGGTGGGGTGTGGCAAGTAGCTTGGGGGGTCCAGTGGATGGGTTTGGGCTTTAGGGGATCCTAGCCACAGGAAACTTCCTGCTGGCTAGCTAGAAAAGTCAAGGGGGTTGGGGAAGGGGCCCAGGGTTTTGTCCTACTGGGGAGGACCTAAGAGTGGGGGATCCTGCCATGTGTCTGTTCATTCACCTCTTAAGTCCCCTCGGTATTCGAGCAAGCTGTGTTTCAGAGTTCCGCCGAGGTTGCAGGATAGGCCCATATATATCTTGCTTATCCATCAATTCATAGGCTCATGAGTTGTTTGAGGTTTGGGGCTAATGTCAATAATCCTTCCCTTGGTGTTCATGGAGATGATTTTGATTCTCTTGAGTATATGAACCTAGGACTGGGCTGGCTGGCTAATATGGTACCCCTGTGTTTAGCTGATAAAGAAATTGCAATACCAGACTGCTTGAAATCATTTGCACTAATAAGGTGTGAGATTTGACTGTTTCCAGCTCTTGGTTCATGTGCCCCCATCAAATTACCAGTGGCGGGGAGTGACCATTCACCATGGCTTATTTTTTCATTTCCCTAATGGCTGATAGTTTTGGGATCTGTTTATATCTTTACTGGAAAAAATGCTATCTAAATTCTTTCTCTGGGGTTCATTTGGATGTTTTATTTTTCATTTCAAGCTGTCACATTTTATGCGTGTTAGATACAAGCGCGCTGGTAGAACTTCTCAGTTATGTGTCTTGCAAGTATTTTGCCCATCAGTGGAACTGTCTTTCCCTTTTGTCTTTTCCTTTGCCAGGTTGGGGAAGGGGGGAGGGGGAGACAGGCTAGCCTGGGCTCACAGGCATATGCCACCATGACTTTCTACTTTTTACTTCCTTGGCAATACAATCTTTTGAAACATCAGTTTTATCTTAAGATTTATTTTTATTTGTATGTGATGGGGGCGGGATACATCTGTGTGCTGGTGCATGATGGGCCAAAAGAGGGTGTCAGATCCTCTGAGCTGGAATTGCAGGTGTTTTTGAGTCACCCAACATGGGTGCTAGGAATGGAACTCATGGCTTCTAGAAGAACAGAGAATGCTCTTAGCCACCATCTCTCCAGCCCCAGCACCGAAGTTTTTAATCTTGACAAAGTCCAGATTGTCAATAGATTCTCTTGTTATTTGGCTCTTGGTCCTAAGGAACTATTGGCTACCTTCAGTCACAATAATGATGCTCCACACACCTCCATGACTCGGAAGTACTTCCTTCTTTTACTGTGTACTTAGTGTTGCTGGGTTACGTAACCCAGGGCCTCGCATGTGCCAGGCTGGCACTCTACAGCTGAACCACTTCGCCAGCCCAGTACACTTCCCACACGTGGTCCTATAGACACAGCCCTCTGCGGAAAAGCAACACTTCACAGACCCAGCTCACAGGAAAGGAAGCTGAGAGCTGGGGGTACCAGGCCGGGGGTCAGATCCGGTCCAACCTCACTCGGAACCTCCTATCCTCCCAGGGCTTGAACAGTGTCTAGTCTGTGATGGACCCACAAGGAAGGCCCACCAGGTGGGTGACTAGCGGACCCTAGCAGATGCCCAGAGTGCTGTGGCTGGTGAGGTGGCGCCTTGGTGACAGACCGCCTGGACACTCAAGGTTGCTAAGTGTCTGCTTTCTCCCCACAGTGTCTCATTGTCGGAGGAGGACCATGTGGCTTGCGCACTGCCATTGAACTTGCCTACCTGGGAGCCAAAGTGGTTGTGGTAGAGAAGAGAGACACCTTTTCCCGGAACAACGTCCTGCACCTCTGGCCCTTCACCATCCACGACCTGCGGGGCCTAGGAGCCAAGAAGTTCTATGGGAAATTCTGTGCCGGCTCCATCGACCACATCAGTGAGTAGGGCTGGGGTGGGGTACTTCATGAAGGTCCAGGCCTCACTGTGGGTGGACCCATCTTGGGGTGGGGTACTTTAGTGAGTCCAGGCCTCACTGTGGGTGGACCCACCTTGCCACATCAAGGAGCCCCCGCTGGCCCTTTGAGGACCACGCCTCCAGATGAAAGACTATGCTTAGTTACTTTGCTTTGCCGGTGAAGGGATGCTTCACAGGAGTCAGTTTGAAGAGAGGTTTTATTTGGGCTCACGGTGTGAAGGGACACAGACCTCTCATGGCAGGGAAGTGAAAAAGGCAAGCAGCTTCATGGCTGCTAGTTCATATCTGGGCAGATGTGGAAGTGAAGAGAGGCCCAGCAGAGGGACTGGGCTATAAATTTCAAATCCCCTTCCTCCCCCAGAGGCCCACTTCTTCCTGCTAGGCCACATCTCCTAAAGGTCCTACAGTCCCCTAAAACAGTCCCACTGGATGGGGGTCAAATGTCAAAATACCTGAGCCAGGGGTGACATTTCACATTCGGACCATGACAGTGTGCTTTGTGGCTTATTCTGGGCTCCGTGCTGTGTCCCATTGGTCACAGACTGTGGCACACACTGCCTGCCAAAATACCCGTCTCAGGGGCCTAAGTGCTTGACACATAATAGATGAACAATAAACATCTGTCGGGTGGATGAATGAAATACAAAGCCCAGGGGTAAGCAGCGGAGTCTGTACGCTCCGGGAGTGCGCTGAGATTCTGTCAGTAATAAAATGTGCTCTAATAGAGTGAGTCACATTCCCAGGAGGAGTTTGAAAGAGAGAACTCAAAAGCCGCTAACAGGGCCAGATGGTTGAGACCTTGTGCAGAAGCCTTTGGACACTGTGCTGCGAGTCCTGGGGAGGAGGGCAGGTGGCAGATGAGAGGAGTGACGTCATTGAACGTGTAATCTCTGACAGATCGCTAACCAGCACTCCTTAGAGCTTTGACGACAGGGAAGGCCGCCTGTGTGACTCCATGGGGGCTGGGAAGGGAAGCTGAGGATGTAGACCAGATGCCGGGCAGGCTGAATGCCTGTGCGGAACGCAGCTTCTGTTCTGCTGTTGGTCACCTGTGGAATCTTGAGATAAGACCTACGCAGACCTGCTTTGGGGAGGCAGTACCCCAACTCCTCGGAGCTTTGCAGGGAAGAGGTCTCTGGGCATCTTCAGATGACAGTGGAATGTGGAAGTCAGGCAGGTCATATGAGAGTCGGGTGAATTCAATACAAAGATGTCTCTTTCATTCCTTACTTGGCTGAAATTCCTTTTCTCAGGTCTCAATTTTATCTCCTATAAAACAGGACTAATGTTGTCTCCTTGAGTTGCTAAGCTTACACAGCACCCCATCTGCTGTGTGCTGAACATTAAAGCACTTTGGGTCTGGTGGCATAGGAGGGTGCCGTGTGTGGCTCTCAAACCTGACAACCTTGTCCTTCTCCACGGGGATGGGTGAGAGCAAAGCCCAAAGACCCATGTCCATATGAGACCAGAGCTGATGGGAAAAGTGAGTTGGGGTGTGGGTGGGACTGGAGAGAATTGTCAGCTGCTAAGGGTGTAATTTATTCAGACGCAGAAGAATTTACCAACAGCAACCCCAGAGTTTATTCCCACTTTGGGATGAGAAAATTCCAGGAGTTCAACGGAAAGAAATGTGCATTTGCCCAGAAAGCCACAGCGTGAGCTGGCAGGATGCGTTGACCCACCCAGAGAAGGAGGCCTGTTGCTTAGAATGTGGAGTGAAGGCTTCAAGCAGTGTGGAGAGGATATGGCCTTGTCCAGGGCAGCTCTGGGAGAATGAAGGTGGGGACTTAGAGAGCACCTCCTGGGTCCCGGAAGCCAGGAACCTTGACACTGTGAGGTGTGGCCAAGCCTCCCCTGGAAGGACTGTCTCCTTAGCAGGTTGTAGCCAGCTGGCTGGCTTCTGTTCAGCCCGCAGGCCGTCTCCAGCCACAGCTGCATCTTCATGTTCAGCTTTGCTCAGCTTCTGTCTACGTCCTGTGTTAGAACTCTTACTTCCCGGCACTGTTCTCTTAACGGTGGTCTGTGTCCTGTGCCTGACAGAGAGGCGTTGACCAGCCCTTCACACGCTCATCTTCCCTTCTTAGCATCCCCAGGACAGAGGCAGAGCGAGCCATGCCTTCCAACTCTGGTCCCTCTTGGATTTCTCTCCCCCTTCTCCCTCTCCTCATCACTAGTCTTGCTGAGCCTCACCCTGGACCCCACCTTCTCTGGGCACCCCATCATTGTTCCTTCGCTCCAAGGATTTGCTCTAGGAGAGGAAGGAAGGGTGAACTGTCTATCCCCTCATACTCCCCCCCTGCTTGTCCACTTCCTTCTGCCACCACACGAAAGAGATTTTTACCCAGCCGCTTCCTGGCTCCCAGGTGCCCTGGCCTCATGTGGCCTTCATTGTTCTCAGTCTGTCCAGGGATTCTGATGCTCCCGATTGCACCTCTCTTGCAGCCCCAGCCCAGGCCCCATCGTTCTGTCCGTTCCCTCCATTACAGAGCATGTGCCCCGTTGCTGTGACTAAGATGGCACCTGGCATATTGTGGGTGCTCCATGAATATTAAATAAACTGCACCCACTCAATGCAGAGAAGCCAACAGCAAGTTTACAGTTTCTCCCTGTACAGGAAAATAGTTGGACGGATGCCCATTTGTGCCGAGCACTAGGGAACGAACAAGGTTGCGCTCACTGAAGGCATTTGAAATGGCAAGAGTGGAGAGCATTGAGCCCAGCTGGTGGGAGAATTCCCTGCCTTGCCCATTACCATTGGAGAGAAGGAGCTTTAGGCATAGACCTCATCCAAGAGCCATTTGATCTCTGACTTTCCTTGTGGCTCCTGACTCTCACTGTCTCCTCCTCTCTCTACTTTATGTCCTCAAAGCCAGAGCCCAGCTCAGCAAAGGTGTAGGAAAGACAGACCTTCCTAGTTAGGACAGCCTGGTCCAGCTAGAGCAGCACCGTCGGGTCAGACTGAACAGGATCCCGTCTGCTTTTTGTTTCTTTATGGCCCTGAGCAGTCACCTGGCTTTAGCAAGTCTCAATATCTCCTATATTAAATGAGAATAAGAAGGATGCGTGAAGAGCCCTGCAGTGCCTAGTACAGACTCAGCAGGTGCCGTGCTGAGTTCGGAGGCCACCAACCACACCTGCACAGCACTTACACACAGGTGGTCCCAGGCATCGCTCCGAACAGTCATCTCTCCCTTCCTTCCCGACAGGTATCCGTCAGCTACAGCTTATCCTGTTCAAGGTGGCCCTGATGCTGGGAGTGGAAATCCATGTGAACGTGGAATTCGTGAGGGTTCTAGAGCCTCCTGAAGACCAAGAAAATCAAAGTACAGTATAATTTTCCTTCTCTGCCTTGAGGGCAGATATTCCAAGTGGGAAGCTGTGCTGGTAGCTTTCAGAGGCTATCTCTGCAAGTTATTTTTGCTAGGAGCTGTTTGGCATACTTCCACTGACAAATACTTTACCTTTTTTGACCATTTCTGTGGCTTTGGGCTTATTCTTCAGCTCCCAGCAAGGGCGGAAGTGATGGTGGAATTACTATTACACCATGAGGCCTATAATTTGGTCACTCAGTCCCTAGGAAAATACAACTTCGACCAACAACATTCAGCTGGTGGCAGCCAACAAGACAGATCTGATAGCATAATAAAGTCACACAAGCCTCAGGACATGTGTGTCAGTTCACACGCAGATAGGAAAATGTGCTGCTGCACCCCCAAAACATTTTAAAATACAGTAACGAAACTGAGACTTCTAGAGTGGTTGTCAAATAAAGGTTCTAGATATTTCTTGGAATACGTATGTCTTAGGGATTTTGTTGCTGAGAACAGACACTATGGGCACGGCAGCTCTTATAAAGGAAAATGTTTCATTGGGACTGGTTTACATTCAGAGGTTCAGTCCATCATTATGGTGGGAAGCATGGCAGCGTGCAGACAGACAGTGCTGGGGAGGCAGCTGAGAGTTCTACCTCTGGGTCAGCAGGCAGCAGGAAGAGAGAGCCACTGGGCCTGGCTTGAGCTTCCAAAACCTCAAAGCCCACTCCAGTGATACACTTCCTCCAATAAGGCCACACTAATCCCTATGGGCCTATGGGGTCCATTGTTCATACAAACTACCACAATGTATATGTATCCCTGAGATAGTCTTATGTAGCCCAAACTGGCCTGAAACTTGCTATGTTGCCAAGGATGACCCTTGAACTTCTTTCTGAACGCTGGGATTACAGGTATTACAGGTATGCCATCGTGAGCATCGGTATATTTGATTTTATTGAGTTTTAACTTAGATCATAAAATACCTCCATCTAGGGGGGTTCTTGGTAGTATTCTTTTTTGGGGGTGGGGGAGATTCAAGACAGGGTTTTAATGTATCTTTGGAGTCTGTCCTGGAAATATTCTGATATTTTAGCTGAACATGGTGGTGGTGCATACCTGTAATCCCAGCACTGAGGCAAGATGGTTGTAGGTTCAAGGCCAGCCTGGGCTATATTCTGAGAACCTACCTTAAAAAAAAAAAACTAGAAGAAAGGGAAATCAAATTCTGATCTCTTTCACACGCCGTTGTCATGGAGTTTGTCCAAGCCTCCATATCTTGCTGTCACAGCTTCCTATCTTGGTAATGCTGAGGTTTGAAGCAGTGTGTATAGGAGACTTTGCTGTTTCCCAGGGAGGGCACACCCCTGACTTCTCCTGGCCTCAGCTCAGAAAATTTTTTGACAACTTGGGGAGGATTTCCTTGCTTTTTTTTAACAAGACACAGTCATTCTCAAATGACTCAGAGACTGTGTGCTCCTGTTGGAACATCTCTGCTGGATCGTCGACCCTCATTCCAAGGACCCAGCCAGGCTTGCCCTGAGAATGTGCTTCTACAGCAGCAAACCATTGGAGTCAGAAGCAGAAGTGCAAAGTGGCTCCCTGGCTTCTCCCACATCCCCTGGGATCTGTTTGACAGTGAGGAGCCACTAAATATGGGACAAATATGGGGGGGATCTTTGAGATATAGACAGGGACAAGGGAGACTGGTTTGGGGTCTGCTAAAGGTTAGCATCCTCATGAAGTTCAGTCAGCCCAGGTGTAGAGTCGGCAGTTCCTCTTCGCCTTGTGCAAGATAGCCAGAGAGAAGCTGGATATGGAGTGTCCAGGTGTGTCCCATCTGCAGCCTGGGAACCGCATGCTACCGGATAGCTATGCGTGTGGCCAAATATGAAATAGTGAACTTATTAAAATATTACGAGAGGTCTTTGCCATAAAAAGCCCCAGTTGCACAGGTTCTCAACCATGAGCTTTGTAGACGACAGCGCTGTGTCACAGTATCAAAAGCTGGATATGCCTGATGCCTTTCTTGGGGAGGCTTCACTGGGTCCTTGTCCACGTCTCATGGCCAGCGGGGAGGGGTGGCATCTCTCAGCCTGCCTCTACCGCTCATCTAATAGTCTCTCTCCTCTGGTAGAAGTCGGCTGGCGGGCAGAATTCCTCCCTGCAGACCACGCCCTGTCTGACTTTGAGTTTGACGTCATCGTTGGTGCCGACGGCAATAGGAACACACTGGAAGGTGAGGACTCTTCTTTTGGGGCTGAGAGATAATGAGGGGAACCGGAGAAGGATGATCAAGATGACAGATGCTTCGGCTAAGGGTAGAGGCAGACAGACTGTCCTGTCCTGCCTGAGTCTGAGCGTGTGAGGATGGCCATTCCACTTTCCCTCCCTGGACCTAAGCATCCCCAAATGAGAATCTGGGTAGCAGAACCCTCTCAGAGGGTGGGGGCAAGAGGTCGGGGGGCTTTTCTGTAAAAATGCTTCTTATACTGTGGGAAATATCAACATAAACGGGCTGAGCACCTGCTGCTGTGTTAGCCAAGGTGCATTCTCCTCTCGCTCTGTCTAAGGCAAACATCTCAAGATGCCAATGGCATCCGTTCATGTTCAAGTACTCTACCAATCAAGAGAAGGGCCTCTTTCTCCATAGCTCTTGAGAATACCCACTGCCCGGCAGCCAAACTCTCAGGCTCCAAAGCCACGCTTCTCTGAGTCCAGCAACAGGCTTCGTGTACTCATTTATATGGAAAGGGCTGTCTGAGACCAGGGTGGAAGACATCATAATGTCGGTGGCATCTCTTAGAGTAGGGACAGTTGTTATTTCTGAGTCTGCCCCTGTCAAAGGTCATAAGATGAAGATGCATGATTGGGCAAACTCATTCTCTGAGGACAGGATACACATACTGAAATAGGTCTGATCTCAGAGAAGTCTGCATATCTGGTCCTTCAGCTCAGGCCTCTCCTGTCTGCTACCTGCCCCACAGTCTGCCCTGCCCCACAGTCTTCTCTGCCCCACAGTCTGCCCTGCCCCCACAGTCTTCTCTGCTCTACAGTGTTCTCTGCCCCACAGTCTGCCCTGCCCTCACTCCTGTGCCCATCTTCTCACAGAAATGTCTGACAAGACACATCAAAGCTGCCAGTGTGAATACGTGTATGATTTGTGGGATTGCTCTGGTTGTTTGGGAAAACTACATGTCATACTACTTGAGAGCCTAGGGCCTATACCGAGCCTGCTATAGGTTAAACCCTTCCACATCAATCACTAAGTAAGAAAATGCCACCACGGACATACCCTCAGACCAATCTGATAGGGGCAGTTCATCAATTGAGATTGCTTCTTCCTAGGTATGTCTAGGCTTATGTCAAAACATAAGCCAGCCAGCATACATCCTAAACACCAGCTGCTGGGAGCTAGTGTGCTGGTTTCTTTTGCTAGGCCTTGGTGTTGCTTTCAGAAGCACAACCCCATCTCTGCCTTCATCTTTACGGAGCTTCTTCCTCAGTGTGTTTATGGGTCCAACTTTCCCTATGAATAAGGACATCAGCCGTGTTACAGTAGATGGCCCATTATACTCCAGTTGACTTTATATTAACTAAGCCCAACGTACAGAAACACCAAGGGTTAGGATTTCACCATCATATGTGGTAGGAAGATGGCAATGCAATACAACCCATAACAACAAATTTATAAAGAAAATGTTTTAGCATCCCTCTCCTATGGGAGTTTAGTCTAATCCTATTTTTCAAAAGGTTTTCTTTTCCATTTAAAATGCTGACAAAACCATTTGACTCGTGCAAGCCCTCAGTGCCAAAGCACTTTAAGAGTCTTCAGTGATATACTCAGAACATCTCCAGAGGGCTGAGGTCTGTGGTAGCCTGCTGCACAGATCATTTTGGCCACTGGCCTGTGGATATGTAAGCGCTGCATATGGTCCAATGATATAGAAAAGAACAGAGTTCAAAATGCCTCTTGCGGGAACAAGTCTGGTGCCTCTGCCTGCTCCAGAACCGCTGCCCCCATTGTCTTTGGGGCACAGAGAAGAGTGTTCTCAGCAGTATTGTCTGAGTTGCCACCCCGTCTAGAGGACTGACACATCTATCCTGTCCCTTACGCAGGGTTCAGGAGGAAGGAGTTCCGGGGGAAGCTAGCCATCGCCATCACTGCCAACTTCATAAATAGGAACAGCACGGCCGAGGCCAAGGTGGAGGAGATCAGTGGCGTGGCCTTCATCTTCAACCAGAAGTTCTTTCAGGACCTTAAGGAAGAAACAGGTGAGACCTCCCCTCTCTAAACCAGACGCTATTCACAGTATGTTTGTATGTGTGTATGCATGCGTGAACAGATGTATGGTGGTCAGATGACAGTCTCTTGTCTTTCAGATGCTGTCCTGTCTGTGTGTGTGTGTGTGTGTGTGTGTGTGTATACATATGCATGTGTGAACAGATGTATGGTGGTCAGATGACAGTCTTTAGTGTCCTTCTTCAGATGCTGTCGTGTGTGTGTGTGTGTGTGTGTGTGTGTGTGTGTGTGTGTGTGTGTGTATGTGTATAGAAAAGGTCCCACTGGCCTAATGCTTGACAAGTAGGCTAGGTTGCATGGCCAGTGAGCCTCAGGGGTCTGTCTCTAAGCAGCACTGGGGTTGTAACACCATGCCTACCCTCCCCCAACTCATGGATTCTGGCCAAATTCCATTCTGCAATATTTGCCCAACACACGTTTTTCTAACTAAGCTATCTCCCTAGTCCCTCACCCAAGGTTTCCAAGCTGTTCACAGGGCCCTCTGGCTTCCATGGGTTGTCTGGGAGCAAAGATTTCTCTCAGTACACTAAATGTCTAGAGGCCCTTCAAAGAAAAGAGGGAATCTTGAGAGAATGTTCTGGATGTTGTATATGGAAATAGATTGTAGACTTTGCTAATACATGGTAGACATTTACTGAATGTCTATTGTATACTGGCGCTCAGCATTGTAGAGTACAGTCAATGTTAGCCCCACCCCTCCTGAAGGGTCTCCCTATCCAAAGAGGGTACCCACGTAAAGCACTGTGACACAGGGCAGTTGGGGAGTCTGTGCTTAAGGTCTGCCTGAAATGCTGGGACATGCTGAGGAGGGAACCTATAATCTGAGGGGAGAACCTGAAGACTCCCGGGGCTTTGTGCAGCACATCAGCTGCCCTTCCTTATGACAAGGACCCTACACACAACTCACCCCACCCCCAGCATGCTCTGGAAGCAACTGTCACCTAACCATGGGACAGAAGATAATGATTCAATAGCTGGGTATACAGCCTGGGGCAGATAAGCAGCCCAAGACTTATATTCTATGTGGCCAGAGCAACAGATACTCAAGAGGGTAGCGGAGAAACAGAGAAACTGGCTTTCTTTATAACCTGACCAAAACTGCACATGGTCCCTTGGAAAGGCAGTGCAATGATAATGTTAAACTAAGGCCTGTAATACTCACCAGGCATGGTGGCCCGTGCCTGTAATCCCAGCACTGGGAAGATGGAAGCAGGAAAACCAAATGTTCAAGGCTAGCACCAGCTACATGGTAATTTTGAGGCCAGCCTCAACTACAGGAGACCCTATCTATAAAAGGAGTGAAGGTGCCAGGCATGCAGTCTGGTGCCCAGTCTGCCCTGGTCTGTTGACACTTTCCCTCACTGCCGCTTACACGCTTGTTTCCCATGGCTCCTGTTCCAGTCACTGCACCCGTACCTTGTCTTCTTGTCTGAGCACGTTTTAAATAGTGCCCACGTTTCTCACGTTCCCGTTCAACATCACATCTTAAGTAGAATCCTGATGGTAGGTTTTGGGGACCGTGGCTTCTCTTGGCATCCAAGCCTAAGGACTAAGGATAACCGTGTGGCTTTGGTATCACCTCTGAGATGGGACTGATTTTCTATGTTCAAGGGGCCTAAGGGAGAAAACAAATCCAAATGGGGTATGTTTCGTGATACGTTGAGATGTCCTTTAGCAAGGACTGTGATCCCACAACTCATCATGGACATACATTCACACTGTTGTCTGTGGCTGGTTCCACTGTATTGATAACAGAGACCCTGTGACCCACAAAGACACATGTGTTCACTTAAGACTCTGGCCTCTGACCCCCACCTTCCATGGGTTTCCTGTTAAGGTGCCACTTCCCTGGAATCATTTTCTCCAAAGTTCATTTTCTAGGAAGGGGCTGAGTTGCTGAGCCAGACTCTGCCTCTGGCTGGTAACAACTCTATTTGCCACCTTATGTCCCTCGGAGCCTCCCCCAATTTATTATTACAAGTTTTAATGTTTCCTTTCCAGAGTATTATATCCTTTGAATGATTTAATACTTAATTTTCCAGCCCTTCCTTCCCCCTTAGAAACAAAGAAAATAAATACCCGAACCACCAGATAGGGATTATGGCGGGACATTGCATGTGTTTCTCCAAAGCTTTCCCGAGCTTCCTTTAAACTTGGCCGTTGTCACACCATAAGTCATTGTCTCACGTCAGTGACAGCTGTAAATTTCCTTTGATTCTCTGGGGGGCCTTCCGTATGCATGGCTGTTTCCTATTTTACTGTAATAATAAGGGTGTTGCTATGGTTACCCAGCACACCTTGTGTGGATGCTTTAAGGTCACTGTGTGCCTTTTACTTCCTGTCACATAAACCAGCCAGAGGTTCTCATGTTCTAGTGACCACCAGAGCCACCCAGGGAACTTAACACTTACGGTGTTGGCTCTACCCGCAGTTTCTAATTCAGCAGTCCTGATGATTTGACTTACGTTAAGTTCTCAGGTGAGCCGGTGGCTCCGAATGAGCCTCCCCGCATCCCTTTGAGAAACAGAGCCAAGCGATCATCTCATATCGTGATCTTCAGTGCAGAATCCTAATGTGTGAAAGTGTTGCTGTCTGTGAAGAGAACAAAAGATGAGGTCTAGGGCTGGGGAGATGGCTCCACTGAGGATCTGAACTCAATTCCCAGGACCCACATAAAAATGTTGGCGTGGTTATGTATGTTAATAATCCCAGTTCTAGGACGTGGAGACAGGAGCATCCCTGAGGCTCATGGCTGGCCCGTCTAGTCTAGTTGCTGAGCTTTGGGTCAATGATAGACCCTGTCTCAAGTAGGTAGGTTTGTGAAAAATGATACCCGAGGTTGTCTTCTGGCCTACACACAGGAGCATGCCCACACCCACATACCACAATGCAATCTAAGCCTCTAACCTCTGACCTGGGTTTTCTCATGCAAGCTAGGCCATGATAGAAGATGCTCTGTGGACACACAGTGGATGGAGCCTGATCCATACAGTCAGGTTCAAAGTTTGCATCTGTGGTCCTGTCTAGCACTTCCTATAACACTTTCTGTCTAGCTTTAACTTAAGAATACTGGACATCTGTGGTTGTTGTATGCTGTTTGGTTGTTTTACTTTTGAACATGCCTTTGTGCAATCATAAAAGCTAGTTGCTTCTGGTCCACAGCCTGATATGTCTTTGCTATTTATCTTATATGCATCTTCTGCACATACATAAGGAGACCTGGAATGAAGCAAGGCGCCGTTGGTAAACTTGGTCTGAATGCTTCTCCTTGCAGGGATTGATCTCGAGAACATTGTCTACTACAAGGACTCTACGCACTACTTTGTCATGACAGCCAAGAAGCAGAGCCTGCTGGACAAAGGAGTCATCATTAATGTATGTATCCATAGATAGCGATTTCTCAACTGTTTCCCCCAGGACGCATGGGCTGGCAGCATCAGCAGATGTGAGAGGAGATACTATCCTGCTAGAACCCATGTGAGGGGAGAGGGGAAAGAGAAACTGCCGGGCCCTTCCTTGCCTTTGACATTGCGTGACTACCCATCCACACAGATATGTTTCAAACCTGGCGGTGAGAGACCTTTGCCCAGGATATGATCAGTTGAATCTTTTCCTTCCTCAAATGTCATTCTTCCTTTGGCCCCGCTTCTTCTCCAAGAGGTCACACTCACTTGGAGATGGGGACTCCTTGTCCTTGTGGAACATGGAGATGACGTCACTTTGGAGTCTGACACTGTGTCCCTTTGCCACAGGGGAATACTTACTGTTTGCGCCTTCAGAGACGAGCAGAGACCCGGTTCTCCCATGAGCTAACTCTGGATAGTGGCCAAGATTTTGATTTTTTTTTTTTTGAATCTCAGTCTTCTGTCTATAAAGTGGAATAACGCCTGTAAATCCTCTGAAGAGTTCTTGAGACATGACTGTATATGAGCAGGGATGCATGAGGAATGTACACACATATATGTATATATGTGTGCACACACATCATGCTTGGCTCAGTGCCTGGTAGACAGTGGTTTTCAGGGTTCTACACACACACACACACACACACACACACACACACACCGCAGCCTTGTTCGGACACTTGCTCTGTCCTATTGGCTGTTTGGTTTCTCTCCATAGCTTTGCTTCTTGGTTTACTTATTTATTTTTGCTCTGAGACGATGTCTTGCTGTGTCTTGCTGTGTAGGCCAGGCTGTCCTCAAACTCTCCATCCTCTTGCCTCAGTCTCCCAAGAGCTGAGACTGCAGGCGTGCACACCAGACCTAGTATGCATCATCGAGTATAAGAGCGAACATGGTGTGGCTGGAGAGATGACTTAGAGATTAAGAGCACTTGCTGCTCCTCCAGAGGACCCACGTTTGGTGACTCTCACCCACATCCAGAGGCTCCGGCCGACTCCAGTGCCCTCTTCTGACCTCTGCAGGCACTGCATGCATGTGGCATATTCTTACATAGACACACACATATGGATGGATAAAGAAGAGAGAGAGGAGGTGGGGAGGATGAGGGCCTTGGTCAGACCTCACCCTTCTAGAGCTCCTGTGCTCACTGCTTCAAGATAAGGATCCCACAGCCCCAGGTCAGCTGCCTCCAGGTCCTGTCCTGGACTGGGACCACTCAGTGTTGCTTGTCAGAGTACAGTGTACATATCTTCTCACCAGCTTGTACTGGCATCCGGCCTGGAAGCATTAGTAACCCAGGCCTCCTCCACCTTGGCTGGGCCTCTGCTGAGAGCATGAGTTGTGGGCAGAATCTGTGGGTAGGACAGTAGAAGCTAGCCTCACACACACACACACACACACACACACACACACCAACACACACACACTAGCTGTTGTGAGCACTGGGCTTTCAGATCTGCCAGCTCACTGCTGGTTGGTCAGTATGGCAATAGGATGTCCTCTTTTCCCCTCAGATGTACTGAGGTGGCTTCTTCAGTCTTCTCTTGGGTGAATGCTATGTATATTCTGTGAGGAAATATTAGAATTTCAGAAATAGAGTATTTGAAGTCACAGCTCCCCAAGAAACAGAAACAAGAAACAGAAGGTCACTCTGGGTATGGAGAAGGTTATATATTTTGGAACCTGTAGAGTGCCCATGCTGGCACCTTGGATAGGTTCAGTTGGCATCTCATCATGTGGCCATTCATGACATTGGGAATTAGTAGGGGCAGGGAGTATCATCTATTCCTGTATGCCAGGCACTGCATGAGGGATTCCATGTATACACTCTCTTTCCATCTTCATACAGTTCCAAGGAGGAGATCTTACAATTATGGTATTGAAAGTGAAAACGCAGAATAAAGTCGAACAGCATGCCCATATTCCAGCTGTGATAGAATCTCATGTATGCCAGGCTGGCCTTGAACTCTCATATTGTAGCTGAGGATGGCCTTGAACTCCTGATCAGTTTGCCTCCTTCTCCCTCACACTGAAATTACAGGTGTGCCCCACCACTCCCAGTTTAAATCAGCACTGGAGACTGAACCCAGGTTGTTTGTGCACATTGGGAGCATACTGCTGGTGGGAGCTTGCCCTTTCGCGTCCTCTTTAGGAAAGGTGGCCTTTAAGCAGAGCAGGCTTTGGAAATATCGAACGCTCTGCATCTCTAGGATGAACTTCCTCATTGTCCACGCAGTCATCTCCACCCCAGCAGAGAAGCAGGGCAGTGCCCACTTTCGTAGCCAAGACAGAGTGTCCCCAGCATCACAGAGAAGTGGGCAACTGAGTTCGGAAAGAAATTCAGAGAGAGGCATGGCACACCCCCCCACCCCCGCTTTTGTTTTCTGATCTTGTTTGACTACTAACCGCAGCATATATGGACCCCAGTAGCTTCACTCCATCCGTTATTAAATCACATTTACTGGCTTGTTCCTTTGTTTCTTAATTGTACTGAAAGTTATCATCAGAACCAGCCATGTGCAATGTGTTCCTTGTTTGCCGGGAGGCTGTTATCAAGTCCACTGTCCATTACAGTTCCCAGTGCCCTCTCTGTAAATTCCTGCATGAGACAGATCTTTCAGCGGAGTGCCAGGAAAAACTCGCCTCCCGTGAGGAACTGCTATGCTTCATTTTCTGATAAGGAAAGCCCGTATCACATTTCCCCTTCACCTTGGATGCCAGAAAGCCCAACGCCAAACTGGGTGCTTAATCACAACCGTGCTAACTGCCATGGCTGGACCATGTGCTTATTTCTTTGGCTCTGGTGTTCTAGTTTTGATTCGTGCATGCTCACAGGCACACGTACATGTACACACACAAACACACACTTCCTGCTGACACACATGCACCTGTGTGCATCTCTGTAAAGGTCAGAGCTTAACTTCAGGGGTGACTCCTCTGGAGTCATCATCTTGTCTTTTGAGGTCTCTCACTGGTCTGGAGTTTACCCATTAGGCTAGGCAGACTAGCAAAGGACTCTTGAGGACCGTTTTGTCTCTGTCTCCCCAGCACTGAGATTATAATCACACACTGTTCTGTCTGGATTCCTATGTGGGGATTGAACACAGGCCCTCGTGTTTGCACGGCAAACGCTTTAAAGACTGATTCATCTCCCAGCCCCTCTAGCCTCCTCATGAAGACCCATCCCCTGGTCTCGAGCCCTTTGAAGAGGAGGGAGGTTTTACGTATGTTCTGATCTCCCCAGGACTACATTGACACAGAGATGCTCCTGTGCACAGAGAACGTGAACCAGGAAAAACTGCTCTCCTATGCCCGTGAAGCCGCGGATTTTGCCACCAATTACCAGCTGCCATCCTTAGACTTTGCCATAAATCACAACGGGCAGCCTGATGTGGCCATGTTCGACTTCACCTCCATGTATGCCTCAGAGAACGCAGCCCTGATGCGTGAGCGCCAGGCACACCAGCTGCTCGTGGCCCTTGTGGGCGACAGCTTGCTTGAGGTACTACCTGCCCTTCGAACCCTGGGAGCCAGCCCTGTTGGCTGAATTCTGAGATCTGTCTGCTTGCCTGTAGCAGAAGCCTTTTCTCCCATTTCCAGCTTCTGCGTTGCCTCTAGAATGAAGAACAAAACTAACCAGGCCTGGTCTAGAGCCTAGGACTGTCCTCACAACATGTAGACCCTAAGCATGGCTGGGACCTGTTACCCGTGTGGCTGGCCCTGTGTGGCCTTTCTGTGTAGATATCTTCCAGAGTTTAAGGGGGACTGTAAGGACAAGGGGTTTTCAAAGTATAGTGTAGACATTGTGGCCCTCCCTCTTGAGCCTGTAAGTGCAAGGCCCCTTAGATAAATGACCATTTCAGGGTTAGCTTCCAATCATAGTATGAACACTGTCAGTGTCTACAAAGTTATCTGGGGCTGAGAGTCAGATTGCAAACCCTACCCTGGGTGCACCATGGAGCAAGCTGTTTACCCTCAACTTGACCAGATCAGTCCTTGTTCACCCTTATTGAGGCCTGTCACTTTTTTTTTTTTTTTTTTTTTTGAGACAGAGTTTCTCTGTGTAACAGTCCTGGCAGTCCTGGAACTCACTTTGTAGACCAGACTGGCCTCAAACTGACAGAGATCTGCCTGTCTCTGCCCCCCAAGTGCTGGGATTAAAGGCGTGCGCCACCACCGCCTGGTCCAGTGGCCTGTCACTTCTATCCCTGTCTCCCTCCCAACTTTCCCTTCCTCAGTCTCCTGTGCTGAGTGTTCTGGCAGGCTCCAGCACTTTCCATCCACAAAACCTTTGCCCCTGATCTTCCCAAATGGACGGAGGTCAGAATCCCATCCATGCTTTACAATGACATGAAGGTCACACTTCCATGAAGTGTTCCCTGGTTCCGTTCTCTCCCGGAGCCCCCAGCCTTGCTACATGTGGGGCTGTCATACATTTCACATGTATGCTCCAACTACCGGTGATTCTGGGAAGCTGTGGGCAGCAGGATTCTGCCCTTGCTCTGGCTCAGAGATGGCACCCCACAACCAGAATGTGCCAGGTAGAATGGGAGAGGAGACCACGAGTCACCAGAGCCAATGAGAATTTTACCTGTGTTCTTTTACAGCCGTTTTGGCCCATGGGCACAGGCTGTGCCCGGGGCTTCCTGGCAGCCTTTGACACGGCATGGATGGTGAAGAGCTGGGACCAGGGCACCTCTCCCCTGGAGGTGCTGGCTGAAAGGTGAGCCTCAAGCAGAACGCCTAAGTGGGGGACTCTGGGTAGAAGACTCGGGCAGGAGTAGAACTAAGTTAGCTGTCCTGCGGCCTCTGCACTGAGCTTTAACCTGCCATCCCACTTGTGGTCTGATGTGATCTCTGGGTCTTCAAGGACACTCTATGTCCTGATGCCTCTCCGTCAGTGAGTTGCTCTTGTGTCCAGGAAAGTAGAGACAAATCTGGACATGGGCTAGTCCTAAATCAGTCCTTTTCTCATCCACACAAGGCCCAAGAGGTTTATTTAAGGAAGTCTTCAAGGACATTTCACAGTGTCCTTCCCTGGGTAAGGATTCTGGGACCTGCCGGGCCTCTTCTACAGCTGAAGTCCTGGCTTCTTCCCAGGCCCTTGCTGCTGGCCATGGGACCGCGAACAGATGGCTGACCCTGAGAGTTAGTGCCGATATGGGAGACAAGCTTTTGATGGCCTTGGGTATGGGCCACTGTGACCACAAAAGCAGGCCACAGAAGACTGTGGCTGGGTCGTAGCTTTAACTGAACCAGAGTCTGCTGAGATATTGGACCTGTGTTCTGGCATCCCGCCCAGGAAAGGAGACCTCATCCCTACCACCTGGGTACTCTTTCCTCTCTCCCCCTTTTTTGCTCCTACCCCACACTTTGCAGCTCTCAGGAGTGTGTGAGATTATAGGAAAGAATTATACAAACACACCAGAGGCCATCCCTGAAACCTTGGAGGCTGGGGGAGAGGGGAGTATAGGATCAAGGGCCTGAGGTGGCAAGAATAATCTCCAAACTCTGGGTTCTGACTCCCTGCAGAGAAAGTCTTTACCGACTGTTACCTCAGACAACCCCAGAGAACATCAACAAAAATTTTGAACAATACACATTGGACCCAGCAACACGGTACCCAAACCTCAACTTGCACTGCGTCAGGCCTCACCAGGTAAGCCCACTCCCACGCCTGTCTGAAGCCCCTGCAGTGAGCTGAGGGAGAGCAATGGTCTCATATTGTCACTGTCCTGAAACTGAGGCCACCAAAGCTCGTTAGCAAAAGGGTGGAGCCAGTTCTTTCCCCCACAAAATGTGAAGGTGCAATAGAGGCCTAGAGGCCTCTTTATAGCCTTATGGGGGACTAGAACACATATGGTACTGTGCATATGTGTGTGTTTATATATTTTCACGTGTTGATTTGCCACTGTGCAAATGTGGCACTGATTAATTCCCCTCTCTCAAAAGTAATCCACTTACCTAGATATTTCCTCTCTTCCTTACCATGCAAAGGCTTGGACATCACTTATCCTAGGGATTTTATCCCCCAAACTCTATTAATTAGTAGGACAGAGAATAGTATGGGCTCCTATTAGCCAATTAGATATTCACGGTCAGTTCTGCCTCATTTGGGAGAACTGTTGAGGCCCGTTGTCTGTGACTCAGTTGTCTAGATGCCCTGCTAAAAGTCTTACCAGCCTGCACCTGAAGAAAACAGTAGCAGGTAGGGAATCTGGTATGGGGCACAGAGAGGCCTCCAGCCCAGGAGCTGGGAACTGGTGGGCAGGTGTGTGGTCTTTTCTGCTCGTAGGTGAAGCATTTGTACATCACTAAAGAACTGGACCGCTTCCCTCCCGAGAGATGGGGCTCAGTGAGGAGATCCGTTAGCCTCTCCAGGCGGGGTGAGTTGCCCATCCGGGACCCTGGGACAAGGTGTGCAGGGGATGATACTAGCTGCCTGTGTCCCATTACCTGTGTGACCTTGGCAGGTGCCTCTCCCCTTTGTCCTTCAGTTTCCTCTCTCTCAGAGCAGGGGTAAGATGGGATTATTGGAATCGAGACCTGCAGTCGCTTTCTGAGCACTCAGCCCAGGAAAGTCCGCTATAGGGAGTTCCACGGGGCTAGGTTTCCTTTGCATCTTGTTTCTGGGAAAAGTGTCCTGTCTCCCTAGCAGCTAGTCACCAGATTCCTGGGACTTTCCCCCTTCCTTCTCCTTATCTTCCTAATCTGGCTCAGAGCTGGCACAGAGTAGTGTTCAGAAGCAGGGGAGGGATAGTCCAATGAGTAACTCCCCAACAGCCCTTCATTCAGGCCCCCTGCTCTCCTACCCAGAGACGCTCCAGCTGCCACTGTGTCCGTCTCCCCGCTCCCATCCCTGCACACACCACATGCCCAGCTGCTGTAAAACACTGTACCCAAGCATGGCAGGCTCTGGCATTCTTTGCTGTCTCTCCATCCTGTTTTCCTGGAATACCTCTATCTGATGAATCCCTAGACACTCTTCAGTACCCAGCTCACATGCACATCCACAGAGACTTTCTTTAGAGAGTGCTTCCTAGGCTACTTGCGGCAAACATGGTCATGAGCACCTCTGTGCACGACAGCCCCGTGTCATTAGCATCACCTAATGGATGCAGGCTCTGTGTTCCCAGCCTCCAGCCCTGGACCCTGGCCATAGTGGACCCTGGTGACAGTGCTGTTAGACAGTGTGCTTCCTGTTGACCTGTGCAGTGGCCGTCAGGGTTGCATCTCTGCCGTCCACTCTTCCTGGTTCCCAGCCCTGACTACAGTGGGCGTGATGCTCAGACCGAACTCCCTGGAATCCCTGCAGAGCCTCACCACCTGTCCCCTCCCCACAGAGTCAGACATCCGGCCTAACAAGCTCCTAACCTGGTGCCAGCAGCAGACCGAGGGTTACCAGCACGTCCGTGTCACCGACCTGACCACATCCTGGCGCAGTGGCCTGGCCCTGTGTGCCATCATCCACCGCTTCCGGCCAGAGCTGATGTGAGTGCAGACCCTGGGTACAGGGGACCCCAGCCTTCTCTGGGTGAAGACCCCCAACCTGGCTCAGTGTTTCTCTCTGCAAGTTCTGATTGGGTTGTTTTCTAAAACTTGCTTTTCCCTTGTTTGGACAGCAACATGTTTGCCCCGTGTCCCTGGGATCTGACAGTCATCACAGAATCAGTGGTTGTGTCTCACAGCTTGGCCCCCAACCCTAATAGCCACCTTTTGGAAATTGAGTGTAGGCCTCAAAGCCCCCCCCCCCCATGAGAGGAAGTAGAAGAGAGACCTGCTTAACCAAAGAAGTATTGTTTTGACATCCAGAATCATCAGATCATTTCTAGAATCTTCTAAAGCTTCCTTGTGTGTTGGCAAAATGGCAGGGTCAATAGGAAGGTGAGAGGACAGTCTAGAAACCCTTCATGACCTCTACTGACCTATTGACACGGGACGCAGCACAGACTCCACCCATGTACAAACCCTTTCTAAAGGCTAATGGAAAACTACCAAAATCACCTCGCCCCGAGGAGATGGGAATCTCTCCACATGATACAGATAATTTGATTGGTTTGAGAAAAGATCCTGTTACAATAACAGTTAAAATTAAAAAAAAAAAAAGAATGAGAAGTAATTAAAGTAGCTCCTACATTTTCAAAGAGAGTACACCATTTTCTGAGGGTTTTAGCCTAGCTATAATCATGTGGTATAATCATGGTCTGTGTTTGATTCAGTCTCTTCATGAGCAAGGCGTGTTCCTGGGCTTGAGGTTGGGGCTGGAAAATTATCAGTGCACAGTGTTCATTCTGGGCTGGGTGCATCCTGTCTCACCCTGAACTCACCTGGTATTGGTCCACCAGCAACTTTGACTCGCTGAATGAAGATGACGCCGTGGAGAACAATCAGCTGGCATTTGATGTGGCCAAGCGCGAGTTTGGGATCCTGCCTATGACTACCGGCAAAGAGATGGCATCTACTGAGGAGCCCGACAAGCTCAGCATGGTCATGTACCTCTCCAAGTTCTATGAGCTCTTCCGGGGCACTCCACTAAGACCAATGGGTAAGCGTGGAGGCTGTGTCTAGTCTCTAGTGTCGTCTCTGTCCCCCTGCCTGAGTCTGGCTAGTACTCTCTACTCTGAGCTTCAAGACCCCTTCCCCTCAACTCAGAGGCCAACCAAGGGTGACTATCCTTGAAGACATGCAATGGCCTCCCATACCCCTCAGTCATTTAAGGCTTTACAAAAGTTGGAGTGAGGGATTTATTCTAGAAGAGTCCTGATACGAGGACATCCACAGGTTACAATATCACCACCTGCGCCCTGGATCCCAATTTCAATGTTGTTTTTGCTTCTCAACAGATTCCTGGCGTAAAAACTATAGAGAAAATACTGACTTCGATTTGGGCAAATCACTCATTCCTAATAACTATCTCAACCTCACATTTCCCAGGAAGAGGACCCCACGGGTAAGTTTCCAGCGGGTCTTTTGTTTCTTCCTCACTGCCGCTGATGGGGGAAGAGGAAGGAGAATTTCATGGCTGGGTTTGTTTATGTTGACAAACTGTGCAGCTCGAGACCCAGAAGATGAGCAGAGAGCTTAGAGTGTGCGTATTTTCAGAGTACACCCAAGTTAGCTCTGCTCCCGGAGAGGCGAAGTGAGCTCATTTCTCATGTCATTCAGATCCAGGGGTATGACGAACGTCAGTCAAGGGGCAAGGTTATGGTAGTAGTCTACAGTCTTGCATCTCCATCATCCATCCATCCATCCATCCATCCATCCATCATCCATCCATCATCCATCCATCCATCCACCATCCATCCATCCATCCATCCATCCATCCATCTATCCATCCATTCAGTGGTCATCGTGCCCCACTAACTTCAAGGCTGTGGCTTTTAGTTGTTTTGACGATGAGAGTGATTGATTACACAGAAGTGAGGGATGTGGGGTTCTTGGCTTCGAGTCCCGTCCAAGCTTGCTTCTCTGTTGCTGTGATAAAAGGCAGACCAGACCAACTTGGGGGAGGAGACGGTTCGTTTGGTTTGCACTTCCGTGTTTCAGACCATGATCAAAGGTGACCAGAGCAGCAGCTCAGGGCAGGAATCTGGTGGTGAGAACTGAAGAAGTGGCCATGGAGGGATGCTCACTCTCCATGGCGGCCCTGCTTTCTTCTACAACCCAGAACCACTTGCTCTGGGGTGGTACCACCCCCAGTGGGCTGACATCAATGGTCAGTCAAGAAGATGCCCCACAGATTGTTTTAAAATGGTCTCATGGGTTGCAGTTCCCTCTTCCTTGGTGACTGTAGTTTGTGCCAGACTGGCAAACATTACTCAGCACAAACCCAGGGCATAATGAGAATCTAGAACTTTCAGGAATCATAGAACCCTTAGTGTCTTGACTTTTTCACAATACTCCCAGATTATGAAAAAAATGCCTGTTTTCTGTCCCCTGAGAAGTTAAGTCAAAATAACCAATGTTTTTCTATGCTATCATGCTTAGCTGATAAGACTTTTCTGGCAATTTTTTTGTAACTCAGTTATGCATGTCTCAAGCATGAACTTTGTAAATGACAACATTGTCTCACGGTTGCACAAAATAAGCATGTGTATGTTCTCACAGCCTACAATCCACAGGTTGGACACCTATGAATTTAACATGTGGTGTAGGACGATTCACTTCATCCAGTGTGAGCCAGAGAAGCTGAAAATCGGATACCCTTTATTTCAGCCATCTTGCATGTCAATGGGAGACAGACTGTCTTTCCTTGATAGGTTCACAGTTACAGACATAAGCCAGGGCCCAGAGAGGCCAGGCGATTTGTCCAAGGGCACACACTGCTGATTATACGTCATTGCTTTGCCCTCTGCCCTGCACTTATTGATCAAAATGGCCTTTGTTATGTATGCAGCGATGGCACATGCTGAGGTGATGTTAGCTGGGAGACAGACGACTGAGCTCGGTTCCACACAAGATGCTGAGAACCATACACAAGTCCTTATCTATCTGTGGTGGCTCCACCACACAGAGATTGGTACAATCAGACATGCACCCTGCCAGCAGGGAAGCGTGTGTATCTTAGAGAATACACATTTAGGAGAGATGATGCCTGGACCATTCTGTCCCATAGCCCCCTGCCCAAACAATGCCTGCAACCTTGATAGAGGAGTCTGTATCCATCACTCCTCACTATCACCCTATGCTGTTTCTCCAGCTTCCAGAGAAATAGTTTAACATGTCCACCTGTCCAGTCCCTCCACAGCACTACATCTTGTCCTTCAAAGTTGTCACTGTCCCCTGCTGAGCCAGTCCTAACAATCTCTCTCCCTTTAATTTGAATCTTAAAATTTTCTTCTTTCTCCTCTCCTCTCATATTACTGACAACATTCAAATCTCAGCAAGACATAACGCCTACTATTTTGCTTGAAGTTGGCTTTTCCGCTAGGGACCATGCCTGCTTTGCGGGAGAGCTCTTCACTCAATAATGAAGACTGGATGGCGCGTGCCTGGTAGTGAAAGACTGGGGTTGTGTTCTCCTCTTTAGCCGTCTTTGGTGCGCTTCTGCAGTCTGCCTGTGACTCTGGTCAGAATCCAAACACTTTATGGTAGAGGATGAAAGTTCTTAAATTATTTTCACCATGCAAGTCAGTGCCATCTGAACCCACATTTTTCAGCCTCTTGCCTTTCTGTAGTCATACAGATCTGTGCATACTCTAATCTGTGCTCCCTTGGGCTCTCCTAGACTTTACACTCCTGGGCAATGAATTGTTATTATGAACACTGCAGTCCATCATTGTCCTTGTTCAATTATTCACACATGGGGGTACCTGGAGTTCATCTCATCTTGAGCTCATTCCTTCTGAGACAATACATCCACCTGCCCATGCGTATATCCTTTGGAGGAATGGTGGGAACATGGTGTCCTTACAGTGTAGTGGGTAGGGAAACTTGGACTTGGCGTTGTTAAACTTTAGTAAGTTAGACAGGTATTGTCAAAGTAAGAACTAGAATTTGGATGTTTAAAATTCTGTCACTAATGGCATTGACACTGTATAGCAATGTGTAGTTTAAGAAGTGTTTTATATTCTGTGATTCCATCATCCTCACAGAAGCTTATGAGTAGATGGTGTCAGACTCTTTCCTATAGGTGAGGACACTGAAGTCAAGGTGGTTAGGTGATTTTCTGAACGTCACTAGCCACACACTAGCACCTGAACCTGCGATTCCTTGAAGAGAGAACTTTCTTGCTGGTATCACTGGTCATCTTTTTAAATATCAAAGCTAATATCCAAGTCAACCAGATCTAAATTCCTCCATGGTTGGGCTAAGCTAGAAACTAAATATAAATGTTGTCTGCCTTGGCCGGCGGTGGTGGCGCACGCCTTTAATCCCAGCACTCGGGAGGCAGAGGCAGGTGGATCTCTTGTGAGTTCGAGGCCAGCCTGGTCTACAAGAGCTAGTTCCAGGACAGGAAACAAAAGCTACAGAGAAACCCTGTCTCAAAAATCAAAAAAAAAAATGTGTCTGCCTTGAGCCAAAGCCACTCAGGATGTGTGGGGACATGGCTGTCCTCAGCTGGTCAGATTAATAGGCAGACCAGCGGATGTGTGGCATTGGTTGTTTTTTAAAGAGGGAAACCATTTAGTTTAATAAATGGATTTTGGCATATCAACTCTTTCAAATCCTCGGAAAATCATGATAAGAAAATGTTCCCGGGGTAAAAGAACTGGAAAGTTAATAGGAAGAGAACGTAAGTCATTTGTTTATTCTCATGGTCTCTCTGCGTGGCCATGAGAAATATTTGGTTTTTCGTGATGCTTCTGGTTCTTTGTCAAGTATAATAAAGCTCAGAGTGATTAGGGTCTTTTTGTAAAATGCATTTTATTTATTTTTTTTACCAATCTCATACATGTATGCAATATATTTTTACCATATCCATCCCAACACACCCCGACCCCCACAGAAGCCCCTCTTCTCCCTACCAGCCCCCCTCTGGCTTTGTGTGTGTGTGTGCGTGTGTCCGTGGCCACGTCCCACTGACTTTAATTATGTTCAGTTATATGAGCATAGGTGGAGATTATTTCCTGGAGTGTAACAACTTACTAGTCGTATGCCATTGAAGAAAATGGCTCTGGGTTAGAGGTCTTGAGTCAACTTTTGGCTTCCAGTGAGGAAAATAAATAAATCTCTACATTTGCATTTTCGTAGGCTTTTGTTTTGAACTGCATCTCAACAGCACTTTTCCATAGGGGAAAGTAAACATTGTTTGGGTGTATGTGCACTGCTAACCTTTCCCTGCAGATGCACTTTATTTCCCAGGTCCTTCACAGTGGAGGCGTCTAAGAAGCAAAGCTTGCCCCCTTGTCCTTCATTTATTCTCCCAGGAGGACTTGGGAACTTCTTAGGAGCTGCTGGCTGGGCCCACCACCCTGGACTGCGTTCTGTGAGCCCTTAGGTCACATGTCCAAATGGGGTCTAGCCAGGCTCCGGTTGTTTGAATGGTCCCACCCTGGGCTTTCAAGTATAAGGGAGAGAAAAGGATGTATTAGTCTTTGTGAAAAAAAGCCAAGTCCTCCTTGAAAGTGGAAGCATACAAAGAGAACCCTAAGATTGTGCAGGAAGCATTCTTTTTGGTGGGACATTCTGTACTTCACAGTTCTGGTCTCTGGGCCTAAGTGGCATTCACAGGCAGTGGAGCTGGGAGCCCAAACAGTTTGTGCCTCTAAAACCCAGCATTGTTGGAAACCAGGTCATCTGTTTCTCTTGGTGTTTGTCCAGGCATTAGACTGGGGTTATTTTCATTCACAGAATAATGATTTATGAGAAGCTGAAGGAGCTGCTGAGGGAGGCAGGGCCCTTGATCTGCCAGGCTGCGGTGTCTTGGTCAGATTTTGAACAAATATCCATGACTAAACTGTTGTTGGTTTTTCTTTTAATGGGAGTGGTGAATATGGCAGGCATGTATGTATGTGTGTGTGTGGTGTATACGTGGTGTGTGTGTGCGATGTTGTGCGTGGTGTGTGATGTGGTGTGTGGTATGTGTCTGTGATGTGGTGCGTGTGTGATGTATGTGTGTGATGTGGTGTGGTGTGTGTGTGTGTATGGTGTATGATGTGTGTGTGTGTGGTATGTGTCTGTGATGTGGTGCATGTGTGATGTGGTGTGATGTGTGTGTATGGTGTGTGATGTGGTATGTGTGTGTGGTGTGTGTGTGTACGGTGTGTGATGTGTGTGTGTTGTGATGTGGTGTGTGTGTGGTGTGTGATGTGTGTAGTGTGTGTGTATTGTGATGTGGTGTGTGATGTGTGTAGCGTGTGTTGTGATGTGGTGTGTAATGAGGGTGTTTATTGGACTCAGATGATGCACAGTAGACTCGGTGCTAGGGTTCCCAGGCTTCTATTTCAGAGTATCCAAGCCCAGAAGGACCCTTCTAGGGCCAGGCGAACTATGCTTGGGCCTGGACAGGCGTTGTGCCTGGGCTTACAGTGAGCCTGTGGTACCTCTTCCTGCATTTATGGTGTCTGAAAGGCTGGGTGTGATGGGGACCTGCCGTGGAGGAAATCAGAGTGTAGGAAAATCCATACAGATGTGACATATACTCTGTGGGATGTGATCCCAGACTCCAGCAGGAGCTAGCTGTTGGGAGAAGGTCCAAATCACTGGAAGCTGGTAGTTATGATGTCTGTCCTTAGGGAACAGATGCAATCTGGGCTCAAAGATGCATGTGGAGAAGGAACAGTACTCAGCCTCCACCCCACCCAGGCCCTGGGCACAGCTCAGACCTTACACCCCTCCTCACCTGACAGGCCTGGGCTTGGTTGTTCAGATTAGGGCAGCAGGGGTGAACTATGAGGGGTTACCAGGATAGCTGGGTAATACACTATGAAAGGGAACGTGTCTATTAATAGTTACAGTGGCAGAGGGAGTCAATAAATCTGAACCGTCCTTGGCAAGCTGGACATTTGATCTCTAGTCCTCAGGTTGGAGCTAATGTTTATTGAAACGAATTAAATCATTTAATGGTGGCTGGATTACAGGCTTAATTTGACACCAAAGCCCTGGGCAGCTCACTCAAGTCCTGAGAATGCTCTCCGCAGGGTGAACTTGTCCTACCTCTTCACGGGAGGCCCAGGGAACAAAGAAAGTCAGGGAGTTCCCACAAGGCAACAAGCACTGAGGGCATTCCCCGGGCCTGGCTCTGACTTCGGGAACATGATTAGACGTCCCCCAAGCCCACAGCCACTGTAATAGAGATGATGCCTCCCCTGCTTCTGTCTCAGGGATTCCGAAATAGAATAGAGGCACTCTTCATTATGCCTGACTGTAACTCCATGGCTGTGCTTACCTGGGGAGCCATCTTTCCCCTTGTCTACCATTAGACTGACAGCTGTGTCCAGACGAGCATGCATCCTTCCGTGCTTGCGGTTCAAACAGCGTTCGCGGCCCTGAGCTCACCATGTTTCCTTGGCCGTTGCAGGTAGACACCCAGACCGAGGAGAGTGACATGAACAAGAGGAGGCGTCAGGGCGTCAACAGCCTGGAAGAGGTGAGTGTGCCTGGGCTCGGCTGATACAAAGGCCCGCATCCTAAGGGCCAGTGGCTCCGGGTGTGCTTGCTTAGCTATATCACTAGCCCTGTTCCCATTTTGTTTGTTTTTTTTTTTTTCTCTCATGAACCACTGGGATCCAGGCTCAGTTTGATCACTTTACTACTTCCTAGCTGCGTAACTTGGAGGATGAAACCTCCCCGGGGTGAAGGGTCATGGCTGTCAAATGTGCTGACACAGCCAAAATGTTTAAGACTTCGAAAGGTTTTTAGATTAATAAGACGGCACACATAACATAGTTAATTAATATTGAGTTGCTAATCATAGTAAGTAGGAAAGAGACACCAGCTGACAAGCTCTCTGCACTTTTTGCGGCTTCCCTCTAAAGCCTTGAAGACAAATGTTGGGTGCCCGCGAGTGCCACCATCTGGAGAAAGGAGAAAACTGTAGGAGACGGTGTCGAAGTCTAGATAGAGCCTGCCTCTGAAAAGGGCAGGAGGGTATGAGTTCTACCTCAATGAAATAATCTAAAGAGACACGAGATGTGCATGTGTGTATGTGTTGGAGGGTGATCATGCGCCTTGTATGCGTGTGGAGGTCAGAGATGCTGTCGAGCGTCTTCCTTGTTTGCTCTTCACTTACTTTAAAAAAAAAAAAAAAACAGGGCTTCTCTGTATAACAATCCTAAATATCCTGGAACTCACTTTGTAGACCAGGCTGGCCTCGCACTCTCAGAGATCCACCTGCCTCTGCCTCCCAAACGCTGGGATTAAAGATGTGCACCACCACCGCCCAGCATCTGTTTTGAGACAGGGTCTCACTCTGAAGTGATAGCTCATCCGTTAAACTTGACTGGATGGCCAATGAGCCCTAGGGATCAGCCTGCCCCCCACTTTCCACTGCCATGGCTATAGACATGTGCCACTGTGCCTAGCTTTTGGGGGGGATTGGGAAGACCTAGGTTCAGGTCTTCATATTTTGTATGCCAATCACTTTACCTCCTCAGCCATCTCGCCAGTCCTGTACTTCATTTTTCAAAGCCATCCCAGTTCTGCAAAAGGAAGCATACGTATGGCCATGAGGTGTAGGCAGCAGCTTTAGCTGAGCTACTGGCTGATGCCGTAGCTGACTCAGAGGCATGTGGGGTGATTTACAAACTACATCGATGCTTGATTCCCAGGACTTAGAAGAGACTTATTTGCCTCCTCTGTGTGTGACTTTATTGTTATATTTTGTAAAACATCAGTCATGCCTCAGACTTGTTCTATCTCCCATCAGTGAGCTGCCAGTCAAGCCAGAAGCCCACCCTGATAGAGTGTGGCTGTCCACCACTTACCTCATTCTCTGATCAAAGGAAATCTGGAGTTCAGTTCACATTGTGCAGTGTAAACATGCTCGCTGCCCTCATCTGAAATGTTTCCAGAACTTTTGGGGCAATCCTGCCAAGAACTGTGGCTTCGGGGGGTCTGGAGAAATGCCTGCGCAGTTAAGAAAGCTCACTGCTCTTCCAGAGGACCCAAGTTCAGTTCCCAGCACCCACATCATGTAGCTCTCAACTGCCTAAAACTACACCTCCAGGGAATCCAATGCCCTCTTCTGACCTTCAGAGGTACACACACACACACACACACACACACAGTTTTAAAAATGAAAAACAATGCAAACTCCGGTGCCCTGACTCAATGAATCGGTGCACTGGTGGCTGTGTGGCCCACTATTGTCACCGACTTTGATTTGTGCAGTGTTCACTCAGTAGACTTCACCCTCCCTCCCTCTTGATCATGTGTGGTTTGTGTGCAAGACACATTTCATACCCTAAAGCAGGGAGTGGCTCTCCGTTTTGCGTTTGTCCAGAACTTGACTGTGCTATGCATACACGACCCCTTCCCCAGGCTCCTCTCTTTGGGATCTTATTTTTAAAAACGGTCAACTTTAGCTTGCGTCTTCCCACGCATCTTCTCTGAATGAACACACCTTTACCTTCTCAAGAATGCTGTTCCTGTGGGGAGACTCATTGTCTCCTTCGGGGGGCCTGACCACCCACTTGGCAGTACCCTTCTGTATGCTCTGAGGTGTGTGGGAAAAGATGCATGGAACAGGAAATACATACTAAGAAATTGTATTAGTTAGTTTTCAAATCGTATTAGTTAGTCGACGAGTGAGATGGAGCTCCATTTTGTAAGCCATCGTAACCAAGCTTGTCACCATCACGCATCCCAACAGGATGGATGCGAAGGCCCCTTCATCCCTGTGCTATGAATCCCCAGAACCTCCAGTCCCAGGCTAATTGTGAGAGCACCTCGGACCAACACAGATTGAGATCTTTTTATACAATGGCTGCCAAGTGCCCTTCAGAAGTGTCAGAGCCAAGGAAGATAGCAAAATTGCCAGAGACTGGAGGAGACTAAGGAGACAAGATGACTCAATGTGTGGGATCCTGGATTGGAGCCTGGAACAGGAGATGGGTGGGAATGGAAAAACTGATGCAATCCAAACACGGCCCATGGTCCAGTTGAGAGTATTATGCCAGTGTCCGTTCCCTGGCTCTGATAACAGTGCTGCCATTATTCCTGAAGCTACATCAAAGGTGGCTGGGGGAGGCGTCCTCGGGAGCAGGCTGTACTTCTTTGTACCGTCTGTGTAAATCTAAAGTTATCTCTGAATTATTTTTTCTTTAAAGATTAGAGTTGTGGGCGAAGTTGGGAAAGAGAGTGCAGAGGAGAGGAGCAAAAAGATGAAAGCCTGTGCTCACCATAGTCGGACTACCTTCCCTTGCCACTCTCTCTCCACTTCTCAGACTAAATGATATATTTTGGAAATTATTTTATATAACACTTCTCTATTTGAACTGATTTTTTTTTTCTTTTGCTATAACCGCTTGAAGTGGGACACTCCTCCCATTTTGTAGATGGAGCAAATTCAGAGACATACGTTGCCTGGGTTCAGGACTGGTAGGGAGAAAGAATTCAAACTCTAACTGCCGGGTTCCCAAGCCAATATGTTCATCCTTTAGACACATGGCATTGTGCAGTGAGCATCAGTTCCAGAGGACACCCCTGCTGTCTGCCCTCGCTCCCACAACCCGCTGAGGGGCCCTGTGTCCTGACGATCCCTGGATTCCCATGTGCTGTTTTTACCTTTGCAGCTGCCAGTTTTCTCCAGCCGTAGCTTGGGCTCCAGTCAAGAGTGTGCTAGAGAAGGCGGCAATCAGAACAAAGTCAAGTCCATGGCCAGTCAGCTGCTGGCCAAGTTTGAGGAGAACACACGGAACCCTGCAGCCCAGAAACAGGTAATGCTTTATATGGTCACTGGACATATCCTACTGGTAGCGGAACCTGGCTGGCTAGAGATGGGCTAGGGTTCACCTCCTGGGTGTGGCCAAACGGGGGGGGGGGGGAAGACTTCAGTCTCCTGGTTGTGAAATAACAGACTTTTCCATGGGGTTCTGTTTGAATATTTAGGCCTTCATACTGGATCCCTAACAAGTAGGGGTGCTAGCATTCCAATGTGCAGTCTGGGAGTCACAGTTTGCTGGTGCCCATCTCTCAATTAGTTAAATTGCTTTTGCCCTCAAACCATGATTTTAGCCAGTGTGAGAGAGGGCAGCTGGAGTCCAGAGGCCATGTAGGAGAATACTGCCCAAGTCCCTGGTGAGGTGGCATACCCTGATCAGAGGTGCAAGGACTTGGCCAACTTCCTCAGCATGCCCTGGTGCCTCTGCCCTCCCTACACCCCAACAGGCTCTGCAGGGTCGCTGTGTTTGACCAGGCTGGCTGCTGTGGCTCACGCCGTCATGCCTCGTTTCAAGTCTGTGTTCTTAGCTTGGTTGCTCTGTTCTCTTGCCTTTGGATGTATACTGTAAAGTTACAATATGTTGTCATGATATAAGACTCTGGGGGTCAGATTCCCTTTGTTTATTGTGGACAGTGGTCCCATGACAAAGCTGGACAGTCTCTCCCCTGGTTAACTTTAGAGGCACACGTGAATGGCTCCTTGGTCTTGGGGCTAGCTACAGCTCTCCTGGACAACTAATCTTCTCTAGGAAGCGGATTTGAAACAAAAGGGCAATTTTCTTGAGTCCTGTCTTTGTCTAAGCATAGTTTCAATGGTCCCTCCCCGAGGCCTTACTCTGTTCATTTGACCTGGACATCCCTGTCCTGGCATTGGCAAGAAGCTCTCTGTTTCCAGGAGGACTGTGCTGGTCACCCTAGCCTGGTGTAGGCTGGCACTGATGGCCCAGAGCCCTGTGTTTGAGCCAAAGAGCAAGGCCTGTGGGATTGACACGTTGTCCCAGAGCAGGGAGCTACAGAACTTGCCCATCCACATGCTTGTAGAGCCAGGGATCCAGTTTCCAAGCTGGGCCGGGCTTGCAGGAACCCAGCCAGCCGCATCTCTGCTCCTCCACACAGCGGTGTCTCCTATTCCTTGTATCTCCCTCCCAAATCTGCGTGCCTTTTCTCACTCGCCTTTTCTTTCCTGTCTCCTTGGGCTGCTTCTGTGGACGGCCTTTTCCCTCCCAGGACTGCCACCGGGTCTCGGGCATAGGTAAGCCTGTCTTATGCTCTGCCTCTCGCCCTCCTGCTACCCCTCACTGCCCCAAGCTGGAGGACTCCACTCCAAGGCTTCCACCTCCTCTGAAAAGGCAGGTAGGGCTCTTTCCAGTGGCTGCTATTTTGGTAAAGCTTGGAGTAGGGGATTTGGAGCCAAGGGGTGGGATGCATGGCTCCCTCCAGCCCCCATACGTGACTGATTATAGAATCCCTGTGCATGAAGACACAGTTCAAGGTTACCATCCTTATGGATAAGAACAGCTACATAGGGAACACCTGATGTACGTGTATGCCACTGGGCCCTCAGACCATCACAGGTGTTACCCAGCCAACCATGCACAACACACCCTTGATGCTGTTGCTAGGGGGAGAGTAAACAGCTCCAGGTGGCCACTTTGGAGAATTTCCACGCGATGCTTTAGTACAGAGGGGCTAGCGAATAAACTGATTTCCAAATTATGGAGAAAGCAACAGTGGAATGGGCTAGGGATGCCTTATGGCTCCACCCACAGGAAGAGTAAGGCTGGGGCATGGTAAAGGCCTTTCCAGATGTCTGAGCAGCCAGAGCCTGCATGGAGAGACTCTCTGGCCTTAGAATCTGGACAGAGTCAGGATAAGCACCCACAGATTCCAGGGGCATCTGGTCAGCACTGGCTGTTTGTTGTATACTGGGTACCAGAGGTAGAGAGCGGTAGGTGCAGGGCCTACGCAGCAACTGCGTGTCCGTGTGCAGACCATTCTCACGACGAGGTCTCCTGCATACCCAGGTCAACCACAGCCCCTAATGGGATGGGCCCCGCCTTCCTTGAGGTATCCTAGGCAATCTGAGAACAGAGATACACATGGGAACCAGGGCTGTAGAGGTTTGGCTGTCTTAGGCGAGGCCCAGGGCTGAGTACTGTTGATTGAGTGCTAGGGGTACCACCAATACAGATGCAGAAGCTCCTCCTTCACCCGGGCTAGTCTGTGACCATTCTCAAAGTGCCACCTGCTGCTGTACCCTCTATCTCTGGTCCTCGTGGGGGTTTCTCCTGGGGGGTGGGGCCTATAAAGGGAAGGAAGCTGACTTCCCCCCTCTCCCAGTTCTCCTCCGTGGTGGCTACAGGACAGGTGCTCAGAGAACTCAATCAAGTACCTGCTAGCGGCGAGTGCCCAAGCAGACCCTGGAGAGCCAGGGCCAAGTCAGACCTGCAACTGGGTGGGGCTGAAAATCTCGCCACTCTGCCTCCCACCTGCCAAGGGGCACTGGCCCTGTCCGGGGTGCTGCGGCGGCTGCAGCAAGTAGAAGAAAAGGTTCTTCAGGTGACCGCCCCCTCTGCCTACCTGTGTCCGTGTCCCGTCCTACCTGTTCCTCACCCACGCAGAGCAGGTCCCTCTTGCTCTGCTTCCTTTCCTATCTCCTGTCTGCTGTGTCTTGAGGAGACAAGCCTGGCTCATTCCTTCCTCTCTCCCTTGGAGGTGACCCTCATGGCCACTGTCGCCATCTTTCTCCTTTCTCACCTTGACTGCAGAAGAGGGCCCAGAACTTGGCTAACAGGGAATTTCACAAAAAGAACATTAAGGAGAAGGCAGCTCACCTGGCCTCCATGTTTGGACACGGGGATTTCCCACAGGTAAACCAGGGGCTTTCGCAGTGCTCGGGAACCAGGGCTGGATGTCTAGCCAAGTAGCCATGAACCAGCTCCAGAAGCTCACTTCTCTCCTTCCTTTTCTATAGTACAAGAAGTGATTTCCTTTTTACGCCATTGATAAATTTGAGCTTGCATCTAATAGACGCAGATGCATAGTTTTGAGACAGAAGACACGTTATGACCAGGGGAATGGAGGCGGGAGAGTAAGCTCAAGTGAAAAGAAACCCCCACCCAGCAAAAACGGGGACTTTAGGACTCTAGTTGGGCTGAGTGTGGTGGCACAAGCCTTGAATACCAGCATTGCAGAGGCAGAGGCCAGTGGATCCTTGTGAGCTTGAGGCCAGTCTGGTCTAATAGTGAGTTCCAGGACAGCCAGGGCTACGCAGTGAGACCCTGAATACAAAGTAACATTAAATCAAACTAAACAACACTAGTCAAGAGTATCCAATCTTTTGACTTTGGGCTGTGATGTGCTGGGTCACATTTATAGTTATCCTGGGGCGCACGAGGACCACAGCTCCCAGCTTCAGCTGTCTCTCAAAGCAGCAGTGCTAAGCTAATGCAAGAAACTTTGCCTTAGCATGGGAAGTACAGCTTCCTCCAGGCCGCCTGCTTATTTAGAAACTGGTAGGAAAAGAGGAGCTGGTGTTCACAGAGCAGGAAATGAGTAATAGTGGGGTAGGGGTATTCTCGTGGCATCCTCCTCCTTCAGCAAGCTAGAACACATCTTAGCCACCTTCACTCAGCCCCCTCCTGTGTCTCCAGCTGTCAGTGGAGCCACGCACAGAGGGAAGGATATTACCAGGGTTCTAGCAATCTCCAAGAGGCAAGTGTGTGCCTCCAGCTGCTGAAGCCCCAGCTGTGGCGAGCTGCCCCCATTGGCTCAGGCTTCTCCCCTCCTAAGCCTGCAGCTGCTCCCTCATACCAGACTCTTCTATGGTGGATTCTCGTGAGCACTGCAGTCTGGGGCAGCTCTAGGCAGGAGCAGAATGGGTCTCCCTGGGGTTTTTCATGGAGCTGGAGCAGACACAGTGCAGCCAGGAGCCACATAATCCCACTTGGCTCCAAGGACACACTCCTGTGTCATCCTGAGACGCGGCTCTCAGCGTCTGCTCCTCCATGGGTATGTTAAAGGCAAGATCGTTCCACCTGCCACAGCTATAATCCTGCTTTCTTTGCTGTCTCTGTTCCATGCAGGATAAACTCCTGTCTAAGCGTCTGCCTCACGCTCCTCCTCCATCTCCTCCCTCTGGCCTTCCATCTCCTGATCCAGCTGCTCCTTCCTCTCCACCAGCTGCCGACTCTGTCTCTCCTGCCAGAAAGGTAGTCATCCCGGAATCACCACCGCCTCCACCCCCTGCATGTTCTGAGATGTTCTCAGGCTCCATTTGGCCGACACAGCCAAACATCTGGAGATGGGCTTGGCTGGGATGAAAGTTTGTTAGCTATTGTACAGCAGTCCGGTTTAGGTTTTGTATTAGTGCATGCATCTAGCAGAACGGCTTGAGCCTGCGCTGCCATTGTCACGCTCACACAGAAAGTGTCCATCTGGGACCTGGATGCTGAGCCCTGCCCAGGTACTGAGAAAAAAAAGGGGGGAAGCTTTGGACCCCTTACTACAGTTCGGACAGAAACAGCACCCCGTCGTAAGAATAATCACACATTTAATATGTAGAGCTGTGAAATTGGGCATGCCTGGCCTAAGCACGTGGCAATTTCCCACAGTAAACTCAATATGGTACTATTCATGAATTTTGTGAGCCATAGAACGGAGAAGATTGCAAGAACAGAGAGAAGCCTGCAGAGGGTTCAGAGGCAGTAATAGGGGACCTGTGTGGACGATTTCACATGACTAGTTTCCTGAATGGAGAGCTAGGGTGTGGTAGGAAGTGATCAACATGTATAAGGCAGGCCTGGCATGAAATGAGAGGACAGACTGTCTGGTGTCACCGGGCTCTGAGATGACAGTGTGTAAGGCTGGACAGAGAGTGAGAGCAGCGCACAGCACGGTCAGTGTGTTCGGGAATGTCATCCTCTCACGGGGCTATGTGAGCTACTGAAGGGAGCACCCTGTGTTCTCAAAAGCAGTACAGGAGTTCGCTTGGCAGAAGAGATGCCAGAACGAACTGTGATTTAGTGGATAGTGAAGTGTTCTGTGAACAAGAATGAGTTTGGCTCTGTGGCACATTCTAGTCTCCAAAATGAGTGAGTCCCAAGCCAAAGTGTGCTCTGCTGAACGTAGTCTGCTGGCCTGGCTCCTGCTGAGGCCAGGGTGCAGGCTGGGTGTCCCATCTGTCGGACTCCTGTTTGGCTCCTGGGTTGTTGAGCTGGTGCACATCCAGCTTCATGCTATCGTCTTAGCAAAGGGTTCCAAGTTGCCCCTTGTTTTGTAACTGGTTCTGTTCCCGTGGACACCCCTAGCATCATCTGTAGGGGGAAGTGTGTAGAAAGAATCTCCACAGACAGATGAAATCTTATTACCCAGCCCCCTCCCAGGTTCCCCACATGGGCATGAAGCTCCCCCAAAGACCAGGAGGAAACGACACAAAGAGACAAAAACACTTCTGATTTCCACTGCTACTGAAAACTCATGAGAAAGATACCAACAACCCGGCCAATGTCAGCCCCTCGGCCAGCGCTCTGTCTGTCTGGTCCTCTGTTCTCACCCCACCCCCAGTGTAAAGGGGTCCTGGTTCACATCATGGAGAGCCGTATGCGTGGAGACAGACATTTTTGTCACCACCATTAGCAAGGTCTCAAGATAGACTTCCATCAAGGGCGCTGTTTCCTGCTGTGGGGAACATCACTTCCACCCTTGATCTTGGCGGGATGACGGGGATGGTGGAGGTGGTCAGGGCGCTGGGCGCAGACCATGCAGGGACTCTATTGGTTAGCCAGAGCCACCCTGCTTCTCCCTGCCTAGCCTTTCTCCTGCTTCCTGGGACCTTCAACGCTGAGCTTGCCAAGACCTGCCCTCTTTTCGCCCCTGATTTTCTTCTACCCTCAAGAAGTTCTCTCTGTCCTCTAAGTGACAGCAGGAGGTAGAGCCTGGGGTCTGGTGGACCCTTGTCCATAGTAAGCTTATCCCTCTCGTGTTATCACAGAGCCCCCACACAAGGCCTTTCTCGGGACAGCCACGTCAGTTTGGTCCACAGTTTGGCTGCTGGCACTTGCCAAGTTTGTTGAGCTCTTGCAAGAACAGGATGGTGGTGAATGACTGCACAACTGGGCCAAGGATTGCTTCACTGTGGCTTAGCCAGCTGACAGGCTGAAGAGCAATGAGTCCCACAAGAGGAGCTAACTCTGCCCCTCGGGGTGTTTGTGTGAAGACTAGACTTGCAGGATTTACTCTGGGATTTACGTATTAGAAGGAGATGCCATCAATTGGGCATGTTTTGGCTGGGCAACCTGTCTTGTGTTAGCCCTTGTTAGGACAGAGCTCAAGGGCCCCTCCATCCTTGGCCTCTTCCCTCTGTCGTGGGGATAGAACTAGGCAACTCTGTAAAAGTCTCTGGTATATATCCCAGTTCAGGATTATTTGAATATGCCAGTGCTGGTGTGTATTGGGAAATAGGATGTTATTAAGTAGAAGAATCTGAGCTTAGAACCAGACTTGAATTTAAAGTACTGCTCACTCACTGTGTGACTTTGGATCTCTCTGAGCCTTAGTTTCTTAGCCTATAAGCTGGAGCTATATCAGCTACTCCTTGGGGTGGTTAGAACATTGGAGATCCAACATATGCAAAATGCCTGGAATATTGAATAAATGTTCCCTTTCCCAATAGAAGAAACATCTAGAAAAAAACTCATTTGCCTAAAACACATATTTCTAAAATGCCAATTATTTTAAGGCTTTCCATTTTCTACCGTAGCCACTTAAGAACAAATGCCACCGTGGCTAATTTAGAGTCCAAAGGGATTCGGGAACCATCTGCAGAGCTATGAGGGCTAAATGCATGTGATCAACTTTGCGTGCCTGTCATTCCGGGTAAAGTTAGGCAGATGAAGACTCCCCCAAGGGAGCTCACAGCCCTTAAGGCTTGCCTCATCTCAGTTCTGAGCATGTCATTTCCAATGTCCTTATAGAAGACAGTATTAGTCCCTTACTCTCCCCTTGCCTTGGGCAGAGACAAGGAACCAAATCCAAGGCCTGTTCTCTGTGGTTTTCTTATCTAGGGACTCCTCACTGTGGAATGTCCTTGACCCCCAGGACCCAAGAGACCACTCTAGCTCTGCGGTTTGACCCTTCCCCTTCTCACAAATGCTCAGCTCCAAACCTCTGGAAGCTTGAGTCTTGCTCCCAGATGGTCTAGCGTGGGCTTGCTTGATGCTCAGAACACGCTAGCTGGCCACAGATGACTCAACCCTGCAGAGAAGCACTGCCTAGGCATCTGCTGTGTGAGCTGAGTTCTGGGCCCAAGGAGGGGAAGTCCTACTGTTTTGACTCAAAGGGCCTGGCGGCCTGTATCCTCCTCCATTGTAGGCATCATATCTGTGACAGAGAAAGAGAGATGGCTAAGACAGGACACTGACATCAGGGATGCAGACTCGGGGAGTAGCTGAACCAGCCGAGTCCAGTATGAGAAAGATTCCCACATCAAGAGACCTGGGCTGGAGAGGGTCACAGGCCTGTGCGAGGCCTGTCTCTTGGTAGAAAGCTAGTCGCCCTTGTAGCCTCTGGCATCAATGCTTGTGACAATATCTGTGTCACCATGTTTGAATCAAGAGTGTCTCTGGGAAGATGAAGCCACACCACTCTTATTTGTGCAAAGAAGAGAGAGAGAATCTAAAAACCAGAACTCAAAACTATGTGCATGACAGTATTCCAGTCTTGCTGACTCCTTGCTGAGGAACACTGGGTGCCCAGCACTTGTGAAACTCCACCTAAGGGTTTTTGCTTTTTATATGTTTGTTGTCTGTGTATGTCTGCATGCATGTATGCTGTGTGTGGGTATCTGCAAAAGGAGCTGGAGTTACAGTTGTGAGTCACCTGATGTGGGTACTGGGAACTAAACTCAGGTCTTATGAAAGAGTAAGATGCATTTAACCCCTGAGTCACCTCTCCAGCCCCTACCCAGGTCTTTTAGGGTGCTTCCATAACCCTGCAAGCTTGGGAGTGACCTCCCCGTTTCCCAATTGGGAAAACTAAGGCTCATAGCAGAGAGATAATATATGTGAGGTTAGTCACATGTCATGTGAGATGCTGCCCCCAAATAACCAACCGTTCTGCAATTCATTCTAATGAAGTCACTGAAAAATAGTTTGAATTCAAAAGGAACAGCAAATAGTGGAAAATATCCAAATGTAATTCTTGAAAATTACAAGACTATAAATTATATAGGAACTACAAGACCAGTTCCAGGGAATCCCAAAATTGCTAATTCTTGGTGTTCTGGGGTTAAGTTATCAGACTGTTCAGTTTCACATTTCAGTAAATGTTTCCCAGGCAGACCACCAGTGTTCCCCTCATCCAGCCCCCACCCCCACAGCACGTGTGGCTTGCCACTCAATGTATGTGACTCTTCTTGCTGGGAATGTGTAGCTCGTATGCTGTAGTCACCGCCAGGATGAACTCTCGAAGGCTCTCCACAAACCATGCCTTTCATCGCTTCTGGGAACACAGGCCACCTGCTAACTCCCCAGCTGGAGAAAACGTGGTCCTCACACAGAGACCGGGTTATAGTCTCCCTTTCACAGAGCCAAGAGAGTCGTCCTCCTGTTGAGAAGTAGAGTGAGTTGGATAGGTGGCTCAGTTAAGAGCACTTATCATTCTTGCAGAGGACTTGGGTCAATTCTCAACACTGTTGGTGGCTCACAACATCTGTAGCCCCAAATCCAGGGGATACGACGCCGTCTTCTGGCCTCTGAGCTACGTGTACATACATGCAGGCAAACCCTCATACACATATAATAAACCTAAAATGATTTTTAGAAGGAAGATAGCTCCCAGTCCTCAGGCTGATGGTCACTTTCATGCTGGTCTTGAGTAGGCTTCAAGAGCCCTCTCATCCCTTAGGGCAAGTCTCCCTCCTTTGAGTGCCTTATAGCCTCTGTAAATCCCATTTATGGCTCAGTGATCTGGATGGTTCCCAGTAGGTGGGAAGAGCATCCAGGAGACCCACTGCCGACTTAGCTGGCTCAAAAAAAAAAAAAAAAAAAAACTGGGTGTGGCCTTCATCTTGGACATTGCTGTCTCCTGACACCCTGCCCAGCTGCCAGGTGACTTGCACAGCTGATTTGAACAACTGAACAGGCTGTGACCATTCCAGTGTGTTTTAGGGATACCACCAAGCACCCATACAGTCCTCTGCATGCTCCAGTGATTTCTCCCTAAGACAGGATTGCTTAGAAGTTCAGTGACATAAAGTGCTTATTAGCGAAGCAGTTAATAAGGTCTCGTTAGACATTCGGGTTTCTAGTCTCAGACAGTACAGGCTGAATCTCGGCTCCATCTGAAGGCAGATACTGTCCGTGGGTGTTGTGACACACCTTGTCTCCTTTCTGGGAGAGTGATATGGAGCCAGTTCTCATCACAGGAGTCTGGGCGGGCGTTACCCAGGGAGAAAGTTAGTCTCCCTTCCCTCTTTATTTTCAAGTAGACCTTGTATTCTACAGCCTCCATCTGAGGGTCAGGATTGAGGGCCCCACCAGGGGACAGAACATCAGACAAGCAATGGCTGATCATCCTGAACCAATACAACTGAACCTTCCTAGAAGGAGCCAGGTTGTTTGGCTTGTGCAGGCTCCTAGAAGTGGGAAGAGGTTGTATCAAATCAGAATTCTAATCTTTCCCAGGCTAGACATGAGGGCAGGGACCGGATTGGGGGAATGGGGTGGGTGGAGGGTCAGTGCCTGGCCTGCAGCCGTTGTTCACAAGCACAAGCTGAGGAGGCCCAGCCTACACTAGAGAGATCAGAACCCCTTACCCCAGCAGCCTGCAGCTATGTTCCTTATAGTCCCCAAGAACCCTCCTCACATGGAGTGACTACCAACCTGCTCTCAGTAGGACAGCTTCTAGACTCGCCAGAGGTGTGAGGGTCTCTGTGACCGTCTCTCCTGCCTGCTCAGCTTCCTGTATGTTCACCCCCATGGTATCTGCTTTGTCTGGGATCTGAAGCGTTAGCCCCAGATGCTGGGGTGGTTCTGCTCCAGGAGCTGGGGGTCCAAGCTTGGTTGCAGTTCCTTAGCTCTCCTGCTTTGTTCTCAAGCCTGACTGTTAGCACATTAGACGTGGCTCCCAAGAGCAGTCTAGATTTGGATGGCAAGCATTATTTGATCACGTAAGACTCGGTGTTTCTTGAGGCAACACATTGTACTAGAATCCTGGCAGCCTCGATGGCTTACTAGTTCTGGCCGTTCTTCTCAGCGGTTGAATCTGAAAGGCAGCAGGTCTTGGAGCCTCCCCTCAAGAGCCTGGGGATCACAAACAGTACGTATGGCCTCCTGGGCTATGCATTATTCACCTCCTGACAGCAGACAAAGCCTTCTCAGTGTGGTCTGTCAAAGCTGCTGGGGAGGGAGGGGCCTAGTGAGACTTGGCTGGGCCTGGATGTGTGATTATTCCATCCCCTATTCGAGCTGTTCAGTGATGCTGGTCTGTAGCCATCGCTCCAGAGCTGTCTTCTGACCACTGTGCTGAGCAGGTCATGGGGTGGGACTCAGACCTAGCTCCTCTCTACAAGTTTCCAAGACATGCCACAAAGCAACAAGCTCTTGGACTTGGTTCACTCATTTAGGAAAAATGCAGATCTTTTGCATCTCAGAATACAAACCCTAGACCCGTTATGTACAAACTCCCTCCCCAACCCCTGGCTATGATTTCATTGTCTATGATTTTATTGTTGGTTTTGGGATTTGTTTTTTATGAGTTGAAAGCAGGATCTCATTCTATAGTTCAGACTGGTCTAGATCACACTCTGTTGCTCAGGCTGGCCTCAGATCCACAGCAATCCTGCATCAGATTCCTGAGTTTGGGGACTCTAGGCCTGTGTCACTGTACCTGGCTCTATCTCTGTGATCTGGCAAGCTGATAGGAGTAGAAATGTGGGCTTTTTCCTTTTGCTACCACCAGTCTGGGAGTTCCTGCCTTCTGTCCATTCCTATACCTCTGGTGTCTGCTCCAGGTGATCTGGTTTACCTCTGGGGATGCTGTGGTCCTGCCTTCCTCCAGGCTGGAACCCTCTTCCCCTCGCCCGACATTTCCGCTGGGTGCTAACTGCCTCTCTTTTTGTCTGTTTCCTCGCCTCTGCGCTCTCGGCTAGCTGACAGTAGGGAAAGTGTCCAGTGGAATAGGGGCCGCGGCTGAAGTGCTGGCCAATCTGTACTTGAATGACCACAGACCTAAGACACAGGCCACCTCTCCAGACCTGGTAAGGAAACGCACGGTCAGCCTCCTCCTGAATCAGGTGTTTGCCCAGCCTCCCCAGGCAAAAGTATGGGACCAACAAGGGGGTGCTGGAAGTAGGCCAGAGCCAGCAGAGGCTGGGGAAGCGACATTTCCTCAGAGACTGACTTCGCCCGGGTCCTTGTGGTTCGTTTCCCACGCACGATATGCTCCCTGCTATCTGCGACTTCCAGGATCTATTCAGTATCAGGCCTTCAGGGCTATCGTACAAGTCCCGATGTTCAGCATTTCGTGTCCAACCTGAGTAGATCTAAGTAAACCTGGGAACCGAGGCATGTATAGCAGGGTGAGTACGTCTTCCCTCTGACTCTCTCTCGCCCTCCTCGCTCTAAGTGGCATGTTGCTACCAGCAACACTGTACACTGATTGTTGAGCTGGTTTCCTTTGGGCTCACTGACCTGGAATTGCCCAGCACCAGCCTGCTCCAGCCCTTCCCTTCCCCATTGCTAGAGTGGAGGGAACCGTAAGACACAAGCTCCCTTTTTTTGGCTCTCTCTTGAATAGATCTGAAGTCACACCCAGTGACCTCACTTGACCCCTGCCACTGCAGGGGCAAAGGCGTATAGCACACCTTCTCATGGTTTCTTTCCCTCTTGCTGTGATGGACTACCCCGATAAGCCTAACTTCAGGGGAGAGTGTTTATTTAACTCATAGTTCAAGGCACAAGTCCATCATAGCAGGGAGTCAAACAGGAACTTGAAGCAGGTGGACACATTGCATCCACAATCAGCAAGCAGAGAGAGTTAGATGCAAGCTTTCTGCTGTTCTGTCTATGCCGTCCAAGCTCCTAGCCAGAGAATGGTACCACTCACAGTGGGCAGGTCTTTCCACCTCGGTTAGCTAATCAAGGTAATCTACCACAGGCATGCCCAGAGCTCCCAGGTGAGACTAGATTCTGCCAAGCTGACAACTATCGCTGATCATCACACGGCATCACTGTGGTACCCAGTGACTTTTACCCTCTGGGACGGACCGCAAGAAACAACACAAGATAGACGTATTCAAGCAAGATGTCCACTCGTTTAGATCAACCTGGCGGAGAGCCTCTGCAGGGGTGGAGGCTATGGGGAGTGTGTCTTCCTGCCCTTGCTCTTGTCTGCAGTGACATAAGCAGCAGCCTGGAGCCCTGAAGATGCTGTGATTTGATTAAGGATTTCTACATCCCTAGGCATGGCCTTTAAAGTCGTATTCAGCCCTAACACAGCTCTTTTCTCCTGGCCCTAGGAATCTGTGCGAAAGGCATTTCCCCTGAGCCTGGGCGGCAGTGACACCTGCTACTTCTGTAAGAAGCGTGTGTTTGTGATGGAGCGGCTGAGTGCCGAGGGTCACTTTTTCCACCGCGAGTGCTTCCGGTGCAGCGTCTGCACCACTACCTTGCGCCTGGCTGCCTATGCCTTTGACTGCGATGAAGGTAACCCTGGGGACCAAGACGACAATGGCCTCTGTCTTAGTTGTGACTTTGCTCTGGGAGGCTGTAGGACTTACCAACAGGAGTATGGTGTCATCAGGAACACTGCTTAGGGAAACTGGAAAACCTACACAAGAACTGAAGCCACCAAGCACAGTGACACCTACTGTCTGCTGAGGGCCCTCACTGTCCCACTCAGCTCCATCGCTATCCATGGTGCCTATGAGGCCAAGATAACCAAACCTAATGAACTGTGTGACATGCTCAGAATTATACCTGGCATGTAATAAGAGCTTCATAAATGATGGCATGCTAAAAAAGTATGTGGAGCCAGGGAGGTTACTCAGGAAGCTAAGAGCTACTTTGCATCCACGAGGACTTGAATCCAGTTCCTGAACTCATTTTTTTAACTTATTTAATATTTATGTATACAGGGTTCTTACTGCATGTATGCCTTCAGGCCAGAAGAGGGCACCGGATCTCATTACTGATGGTTGTGAGCCACCATGTGGTTGCTGGGAATTGACTGTGGAAAAGCAGTCCGTACTCTTAACCTCTGAGCCATCTGGCCAGCCCCCATGTTTTGTTTTGTTTAAGTGGGACCGGATGTGGTGGTTCATACCTATAATCTCAGCCTGGGAGAGGCAAAGTCAGGTTAGTCTCTGGAATTTGAGGTCAGCCTGGTCTACATAGTGAGCTTCAGGCCAGCCTGTGGTATATAGTGAGCTTCTGTCTCAAAATTAAATAGAAAAGAAAGAGAGAGAGAGAAGCAGTGTGTGCTGGGGCATGTTCATAACCCCAGCTCTGGAGAGCCTCAGGGCTCTCTGGCTGGCCAGCCTAGGCTGGTTGGTATGAACCAGATCAGTGAGAGGCCCCTTCTCAAAACAAAAGCAGAAAGCCAAGGTAACGGTGCCTGAGGAGCTGAGACTGCGCTCTAACCCCACAACCATACACATACCTGTATAAACACACACAAAGTATGAATTATAGAACTGGTCTCAAAATTTGCACCTCTCTGAGTAAGTGGCCTACCAGAGCTCATCAGCAAAGACTTATGTTCACTATACAAAGAGATCCCTTTCAGTTTGTCAGCCTTTGATATTATACTGTCATACAGACTGTGGGGCAGTGTGACATAGTGCTTATGACTGTGCGCCTTAAAGCTCTCCTACCCAGAGTGGGTCCGGGCAGTAGTACCTGCTCCCTGCATAGCCCTGGAGCTGCTACTTGGATTCCTGCTCAGTTTCATCATCTGCAAAGGAGGATAATGGTAGGACCTGTGTGGATGCTGCCCACCAATGATCCCAGCACTCTGGGGGCGGAGACAGTAAGCTTCTGAGTTCCATACCAGCCTGGGCTGTGTACAGGGACTCAGCCTCAGACAAACAAAAGGAAGAAGTAATAGTTCTAAGTTCATGAGGATGTGGGAAGATAAGTTGATGAGTTACGTTATATGAAATGGTTTCCCCGTTGTCATCATCACTATTATCACCACCATTTTTGTTGCTGTCACGGAAGCAGGCAGCAGTGCCCATCCTAGAAGGTACCCAGTGGTCCTGGGTGGCCGCTGTTTTACCCAGCACGTACCCTGCCTGAGTCTTTTCTCTCATCACTGGCCAGCTGTACTGACCCTCAAGATCCCAGAAAAGACTGGGGAGCTGATACTCAGAGCTACCTATTTTTCTCCCTGCCTTGTAAAGAAATCTAACTTCTGTTGGGGTGGGGAGTCACCTATGGGTTTTAGCTCTTCTCAGAGTCCCCCATTGCTAGCACCTTCTCTGAGGGAGACAGCAGTATGTAGCTAACTGGTTTTGGTGCCATGTTAGGGCGAGCGTACAAGCTCCTGCTCATGTCTGAGCTGGGCTGATTTTCATGGCTGTTGTGTTCTGACTGGCCAGTGATGAGCAGTTATTCCCGTGATTCTGTCTACAGAGAAAAACTGTATGTACTTGTATCTCTTCTCACAGGCAAATTTTACTGCAAGCCCCATTTCATTCATTGTAAAACCAACAGCAAACAACGGAAGAGACGGGCAGAGCTGAAGCAGCCAAGAGAGGTACGTCGTCGGTCTCCGCAGTGCTGGGAGAGCAGGGGCGATCCCTCCCCCTTGAGGAGGTCTCTAAAGGAAACCTCAGAGTTAGCCGGACTTCTCTAGTCCTGAAGGGAGACAGACTGCCCCTAAACACTTACGAATCCCCTTCTAGAATGTTTGTTTACCTTAGTCTGTTCAGCAGCCTCTGGGATTGACTTTTTTTTAGATGCCAGCTCCCTGATAGGTGGCTAGCTTCCTCTGAGAAGTTGAAAAAATGCTTGTACATGTGTCGAGACTGAGCTGTATGCTGAACTGGGCAAAAGCCATGTGGCCCCACTGTACCCAGGAGGAAGGCCAGGTTTCCAGGTCCCTTCCTAGGTATGGTTTGTGATAGTGCCCCCCTCTGGCAGCTCTTGAGATGACTCACCATGACTCGAGCTTTCCTAGTGATGCCTGCTGTCACAGGCTTGCTGCAGGAAAATGCGAGAGTAGATAGAAGACACTAGCTTCACGGACCACTTACTGGGACAGGCTGTTACTTGCTCCAGTTGACACTGTGGCAGTTGTTCAATGCGACTGACATTTGGAAAAGCTGCATTGTGCTCTGTCACCTCTCCTCCCAGATGGGCCCTCTGAGTAGACCCCACCGCTGGAGCTTGTTGGGCTTCTTTGCTGGCAGCATATCAAGACCAGTTTTCTGTGATATTGGAAAATCTTTTTAAAATTTTTCCTCATTTTATTCTCTGTGTATGGGTAGTTTTTGCCTACATGTATGTCTGTGTACCACATTCGTGCCCTGTGCCCATGGAGGCCAGAAGAGGGTGTCAGATCCCCCAGGGACTGGAGTTACAGATGGTTGTGAGTCACCATGTGGGTGTTGGGAATCAAACCCACGTCTTCTGGAAGAGCAGCCAATGCTGCTGACCGTGGAGTCATCTCTCCAGCTCCTATATAATCTCAGCACTTGGGTGAATGAAGCCGGAAGGCTGGAATTTGAGTTCAGTCCAGCCTACATTTGAAGTTCAAGGCCTCTCTGAGCAACCTAGTCACACTTTAACTCAACAAAAGGGAGGGGAGAAAGTGGGGAAGGGATCGTGGGAGGCTGACATTTCCGGAGTAAAACTTTTTTTTGGTTTTGGTTTTGGACTGAGATAGGGTGGCCTCAAAGTCACAGAAATCCCCCTGCCTCTGCCTCCTGAATGCTGTGATTAAAGGCATGCGCCACCACACCTTGCTCAGGAGTATAATTTCTAATACTATTAAAAGATTATATTTTATGCATGGTCAATAATCTGCTTCAGTAGTTCCATCCTGTTGGGCCTTTACGCTATTTAACAATTTTATCTTGTACAGATTTTTACAATGAATATATTTGTATACAAATCTTAATCCCTATTTCTAATTATTCATGTACTATATAACAATACAAGTAGGTATGCAGGCCAAAGGGCATGCATATTTGGAAAGCTAGTGCATTTATGGTAAATTTGCCCCCCTTTAAAATGAGTTGCGGCCACTTTCAGTACCAATGTGGGAGCCACCCCAGTTAGTTCCCCTGGCTTAGCCTGCTGTGATGGAGGCAGCCTCTGATACTCTTGGACTAAGTGCTCTTGCTTTGCTGTCTTTCTCAGGAGGAAGGGACATGGCAGGAGCAGGAAGCCCCTCGGAGGGACACTCCCGCGGAGAGCTCTTGCGCAGTGGCGGCCATCAGCACGCCAGAAGGCAGCCCTCCAGGTATCTCCACCTCCTTCTTTAGGAAGGCACTGAGCTGGCCTTTCAGGCTGACAAGAGGCCTTCTCGACCTGCCCCGGAGCCTGCTTAGGTGGATGCAGGGACTCCTGAATGCTGCTGGCCACCATGTCAGGGACAATTCTCACAACTACTGCTTCACGTTTGAGCTCCTGGGCCTGGGGCTGCTGCTCCTCTGGGCCTTCTCCGAGGTCCTGGCCGCCATGTACAGGGAGTCTGAGGAGTCCCTGGAGAATATCCGCAGCTGGTTGCTCAGGTTCATCCCGGTGAAGCTGCAGTGAGGCACATGCTGCCCCCACAGTGCCCTAACATTTCCAAGTGGAGACTGCAATATTTGTAGTTTGCTCTGGCTCTGGCCAGCATCCATAACCAATTAGCTCCAAGCCAAAGAGTCCCACATCGGCCACCTCCACCTGGCTTTGACAAGGTTGAGCATCTATTCATGGTGCTAGGATCAGGGACAACATGAAGGAATTTTTTTTTTTTTTTTTTTTTAGAAAACAGCTTTGTATTGTTTTGTCTTTTCATACCAAAGCGAGCCATTTTTCCAGGTTTACATTTCAATTTTTAACTTTTCATAAGCCAAAAAAAGAAAGCATTATTTTTCTACAAGTATCAATACTTCTAACTGTTTAATTTTTATCACCAGTTTTACAAGACTCTCGAACTTGGCAATGAGTTGAGATTTGTTGCTGCCAGCAACGTTAATGAGTTGAGACTTTAGAACCACAAAATAGAGCCATCCCTAGACCAGCGCCTTTTGATTTTTGCATACAGATGCCACCTGTGTACAGTGGATGCTGCGTTTGTTTGTTTGTTTTCAAAAATGCATATATGTAAAATCAGCAAGGTTAAGAGAAATAAGTAGGAGGGGAAGAGCAAACCAAAATTAACCAAAGCACACAGCAGTGTGTCAATGGTATCTGTCCTCAGGGTCGGGGAGAGGTATTTTACTTCTATCTTTTGAAGTCAAACAGTAGCTTAAAGGCTCCCTTATGCCCACCAAGTCACAGCCAATAGCATAGAACCACAGGGCTACTGCCCTGCAAACTTACATGTTCCTCCCCACTAATGGGTACTGCAGCGAAGCCCACAGGCACTTGGCCCCGAATAGCTCACAGGCTGATGTGATGCTGAGGACAAACTTTTCTAGATGGTGTCATTTTCACCTCTAGCAAGTCCTCAGCCCAGGCTTCAGGCCGAGCCAAAGCCATTCAGGTCCGTTATGGTCAGGCTGTCTCCCCCTGGTGTCCTTTGAACTGAGGGTACTTGCTGGCCCTGATCGGCGAGCCTTGCTGGTGGTATCCTGACTGCTCAGGCACATTACATGGCTGCCTTGCGTATTTCACCCACACAGTCAGAGATCCTTCTCCTAGTGCTCCAGAAAAGAGTGTCTGGTCTTTGGGTGGCTTTGAACCCATAAATGTTTTCTACACTGGGTGTCTGGAAAAGCCTAAAGCTGTCCCCACCCAACTCTGTGATGCTCAGCTTCTGTAGCAGATTGAGCAACTGGAGGGTCGACAAGGGCCTCCTAGGTTCTCAGGGTCTCCACATTCACGGGGTGCAACAATGGACTAGAAACTCAGGGTCTCTACCGTCACTGGGGACAGCCGTGGAGAGCTGCACCCCTAGCACTCCCTCCAAGATTAAGAAGGACTTGTGAAAGACAAAGCGTCTTGAAAGCTTTGACATAAGGTTCTATGAGGTGGAGAAAGAGGGGTGCATTTCCGGAGACTCTGCCCTGAAGTCCTGGGAAAGACAGGGCATGGCTGTGATCGAGTCTGTGGGAACCAGCACCTCTGGCCTTGTTGGAACTATTGCCAGTGTGATGACGTACATTGTATTTGCCCTGCTTCTAGCTGGGGATTTAATGGTCAAGCATGATGAGAGAAACCCTTGGGTCCTATTATGTTTCATTATGCCACGTGAACTCTTGAGGTCATATTATAGTGATTGTCTCCAGCTCAGGGTGGGCTGAGATGCTCTGTGGAATGCTCTGGGAAGCCAGAGTGAACTCTCTAAAAAAAAAAAAATGTCATTTATAGCCATAAGGAGGCTGGTTTGAATTACTCTGGTAGACAGGGTGTGTCTGTCTACCAGACTTCTGCTTGTGTTGAGACCTTGAACCTTCCTGGTGGGCAGCAGCAGGGATGGGTCCTGGGAGACAGATACTCCAGAAATTCTGAATTTGTCTCGAGGTTGATTCTGAAACCCCAGAGTACAATGGAGACAGAGGGCCTGGGAGGCGGGGGTGAAGGTTCCTGGGAACGTTTGGGGACAGGAATGGGGAATCTGTGAATATGCAGACACTGTGTACCCACTCTTGGAAACAGATGGCTGGGCACCACCAGGAAGGTCCGTCTCACCTCATCTGGGGGGTGGGGGGACAGTGGTTGCCCTGTTTCCACCTCCAGTGCCTTTTCCTCTTGTGATCTGGGATTGTCTTACTCACTCGCTAAGTCCTCCTTTCTGTCTTTCTCTTTCCACCTCACACTGTGGCCGCCAGTGCGTTTCAGCCTTCCAGTCCTACACCCACTTCTTGGCTGACACTCCTGCTCAAAGGTGACTCATTTTCTTGGCAATTTTCCGAAAGAGGTACTAACCCCTACCCCGCTTTCCTCGCCCGTCCTCTGCGCCCTCTGCGTCGGTGGTACTGGTAGCACTAACTGTGTCTTGCATACTAACGGACTCTCTAAGGCATGAGTGGTTAACAGCATGGGGTGGGGGTCAGCTTGGAAGCCGTGTTCTGCCTCCCCTTCTTCGGAGCCCAGCCAGCAGCCTGGGTCCACGACAAGTGCATGCCCCCCCTCCCCACGCCTCCCCGACTCCGGCCACCGCCCTGGCCTGGCCTCTATGCATGCGCTTTCTCCATTGCACCTTCAAAGCCTCTTATCTTCTTGGGAGGGTTGGCCATGATTGTGAGACAATACCGTGTAAGGAAGGCTCTGTGGCTTAGAAAACATTTCTGCTTAGTGACCTTCTAAAAAGAACAGGTGTAGGGATATCTTCTTCTGTCACTTCCAATACAAAGATTCCCAAAGCCTTCCATTGGAACCATAAGTAACTCAGTGTGGCAAGGTTTTAAAAGTATACTGGCTCCCAAACTCTGTGTGGCCAGCTTGCCCCACACTCTGTGCTATGCATATAATGATGTTAGCAGCCCCTTCCTGTTTCGGCAGTTAGTCCTAGGGCCTTGTATGCCTTTCATCTGTCCCTGGGCTCCTAAGTCCCACTGGTCATAAGCCTTAATCAGAACAGTCACGGTCACAGGAGAAGGGCTGGCTTTCAGAAAGAGCTCAGGCCAGCCACTGTCAATGTCAACCTATCTAAAGCACATAGTCCCTCTGTTTATTTACCTGGAGCAGCGGGATGGTCATGCGCTGCTACAAAAAGCTACTCTACTACGGAGAGCAGATAGCAGGCGTGAGTCCAGCCCCACATCCTCAGGCCTGAGTCAGAGTGCATCCCGCCTGTAGCTAGAGCTACCCTGCCCTTCAGCTTCTGTCGGCCCTGCATGCTGCACTTGCTTGCTGCATTGGCGCAGTGCCCAGCCAGTACAAAGCCCTCTCCTCTCCTCTCTTCTTCTCTTCCAGCATTCCCCTCTCTAAAATGTCAACCAAAGAGAGCCCCCCTTGCTCTCGGCCTCCCTAGCTAGCCTCCTCCCCCTCTCATGGCAAGGCATGTCTGTGACCCTAGAGAATTCATTTACAGTGCCATGTGGAACCCTGTATTTTACACAGCAAGACGATGTTTAGGTTTATTTATGATATTTTATGCTGTAAATGAAAATAAATATGGTTCTTTATAAAGCTCATCGTTTCCTCTCTTCTTTGCCATGGAAGCTTCTAAACCTCCAACACAGGCACCGGTTTAGGGGAGCCGTCTCTCCTAAACTGCTGGCGGGGCTTGCACTTGTGGTGACCCGGGACTCTGTGGGGCTGTGCGAGGGCAATCTGAAATATTACCCAAGGTAATATTTGGAAACATGTCATAATACTCTGGTGCCAGGCTTTGGGGTCTCTTCCTTAAAATGTGTGGTACTTTGGTGTTCTAGATGCTGGGCAGAGGAGGACAGGGCCAGGGTAACCTCGACTCTTAGGATCAGGCTGTGTTGGCAGCTGTCTGAACTGAACCAGTTTCCCTGGCACCTGCGGGTCATGGCTGTGTAGGAGGGCTTTACCAAAAGCCCCACCTATTTTGGTTCTCATAGAGGAAAAAAATTAGTTTTTCATGGTTTGCACTGATCTACCCAAGTGATGGGCGAAAGGTAAGGAGGAAAGAGTGGGCATCGGTCTCTGGAAGGCAGTGAACCAGCAGCTATGCACTCGGGTTGCTCTGCACTCTGAGGTTCTGCCCACCTGGCCACTCTGAGCACAGTGCCCAGCAGGCTCTGCCCAGCTTCACTCTGTAGAGGAAGACTTGGAGTCTCCCTTGGCTATCCGGGATGGTGCCAAATCTCCCCGGGGAGGAACTTCTACCATTGCCAGACTGGATGTGGTTGGGCTTCTGATACTGGCATAAAAGTCCTCTGGGACTATGAGGGCCCTGACATCTCCCAGAGAGCACTTCTGGGATTGCACTCTCCGACTCAGTTGCTGGTGCTTGTGTCTGCCTTCAGAGCCACCTCGGGTTGTGACTCGGGGCCCCTGTCTCCTCTTCTGATCAAGGGAGGCTACTAGGAACTAGAGATCAGGTGGAAGGATGGGCAAATAATGTATTCCTTTATCTATGTAACAGTTATTATTGCCTGAGGCATTATTCTAGGTCCAAGAGACATAGCAGCAGGCTCCAAAAAGACCTGACATTTAAGAAGTGTGTGCCTTAGATTGATGTTCGGATTCTGATCTTCTTGTCTGTTCTCCTGCTCCCTCATCTTTTTACCTCACTTCACTAAGCACCTACTATGTGCTAAGGAGCACAGCTAATCTTGCCAGTCTCACTAGGTCTTGAAGGCTCTTGGTAAGTCTCTGGTAGAGTCCTCTAGT